TTTCCCCAGCAAAATGACGCCTATCCATAGTCGTCCAGCCAGAAGGTTAGACTAGGGTGGATTACACAGTTAATAAAGGTTTGCCTTTTGTGAAAAGGTCTCAGTACATAAAGTTTGGTGTTTCCTCTTATTGATAAATGAGTTATGGGAAAATTCAGGTCTACATGGAGGCTTGTTCAGTGGCATTCTAGGGCTGTCTGAGCCAGAGAGAAAACTGCTCTTTGCTGGAACAGCTTCCTCCCCAGACCAGCTCTCCACAGGCAGCCTGATTTACAACCTTGCCAGCAGCCTTGCACCCCTCAGAGGCTCTGGGAGTGACTCCTGCCCTGATTTAAAGCACTTGCCAGGTAGGCTGCCCAAGAGGCCACCCCTACTTGAGTCATGATCAGCTCAGGTTAAGTTTAGATATGAAAAGAAAGTATATGGAAAAAGTATGGCAACATCTCCAAGAACAGTACCATCACCAAACTCTCCCAGCAGCTGCATCCTCTGCAGTTTGGGCAGTGAGCACCCTCAGTCTGTAGACTGGCCGAGGGCGGGCGGGCTGGGGTATCAGAGGAGGGCAGGATTCTGTACAATTCAGCCCTAGTCTTTGGCAGAGTCATGTGCCACTGAGCACGGTACCTAGAAAATCTCTCATGCGTTTTCCTTCAGAATTAATGGGCCCCAAACTAAAGTGGAGATTTATGAATGAAACCAAACTTGGGTGGTCTGTACATGAAGACAACTAACACAGTGCAGCACTGTGGGTGCAGAGAGGGGAGAAGTCTTTAAATCCTAATCAGACAAGACAATCACATTCTACCATGAAAAAGCCTGGTCACGTGCTGTACTGGACCAAGAAGACCCTCTAAGTCCTAGGGTCTGAAGAGCATTGGGGGCACACACACCTATAAACCCGACTGTCTGTGCCGTTCATTTTCCAAGTAGAGCTTTTGCTCTTTTACTGATTCCAAATGGCCCAGCATACTCTGAGTCTATAAGCTTAATTACAAATCATCCACTGAACATGTGGCAAGATCAGTTCAACAGTTTCTATCTGTTGACTGTACAAATGCAGATTCAGTACCATTGTGGACACAAAGTACACGATTCTGAAAATATCACCAAGCACTTTAAAGCCATAGCAGCAGGGGTGGGAAAGTAACATGCAAGCATACCAGATTCTTTCAATGAAAAGAAGGAAGTTGACCTTTGGAAAAATCTGTCACAAATAGACTGCACTAATGACATAATTTTTAGCATTCAAAACAAAACATTGTTTGAATAAGAGTTTGAACAAAGTCTGCCAGAAATTCATCTCTTCAGAATCTGAAGGAAACTAAGGAGGTCCTGTACTAGAACTCTGAGCATCTAAATATCAGATCTGGATGGAGAAACAGATTAACACCACCTTTTAAATGAACAAGCTCTTACTCAAAACTACTACTTGTGGGAATGGGAAAAGAAGCATCAGGGTAAAAAAAAAAAACAGAGGTTTAGAAAGATACTCATCACAGCATTATTTAAATAGTGAAAAACCAGAAACCATCTACATGTTTTATAATAGGGAAACAGATAAATTAAGATAAAATTTATAACCATTAAACTCTACAATAATTAAAAACAATGTTTCTGAACCACTGTTCATGATATGGGGAAATGCTTAAGATAAAATAACAAGTGAAAAAAAGCTATATGGAAACAGTATATATTGGCCCTGGCCAGTGTGGCTCAATTGGTTGGAGCGTCATCCTGTGAACCAAAGGGAAGTGGGTTCGATTCCTGGCACATGCCCAGGTTGCAGGTTCGATCCACGGGCTGGGCGCATACAGGAGACAACAGATCAATGATTCTCTCTCACATTGATGTTTCTCCCTCCTCTCTGTTCCTCTAAAAAACATTAATAAAAATAGTATATGTTGTATGTTCCCAGTTTAGATTTAAAAAGGAAACAAATTGTGTGGGAGGGGACAGGCTATACACCAAAATGTTCACAGTGGTCTTTTCTGGGTGGTGAGCCTAGGGTTTTCTTAAAAATACAAGTGTTTTAGGAAAGTACTGTGTTACCAAGAGGCCCCTGTGTTGGCACACTGCTTGGGGTTGGTGTGCTGGTGTGTGTGTGTGTGTGTGTGTGTGTGTGTGAGAGAGAGAGAGAGAGAGAGAGAGAGAGAGAGAGAGAGAGAGAGATGGGGCCATCTCCTGCAATTCCTTCATGCCTGGGCTACAAACAGCACAGTATGTCCTGAGGAGGCTGGAGTAGGTGTAGTTCCAGCCAGCTTTGGCATGATCACAAGAGCCATTTTTCCCAAAGCATGTCTGTCAAAGCTGTTTGAGTCAGGTTCAGAGCAGCAGGCAGGCAGCAGTGCCAGTCATGAGTGGGGCTTCACACTACATGGGGCTGCCCGCCGCCCTTGGCCCTGGTCAGGTCCACAGGAAGAGAGAAGGAAACCATCCGATGCAAACCCAGTTTCCTAGAGTTCCCAGAGAAAGGCAAGGCACAGCGGAGACCAAAGAACCTCCTGGCTGTCCTCCCTCCCTTCTGCTAAGAGAGGCCACATGGGACAGTCTCCAGTTGGCGGGTGCTTCATCTGACTTGTCCTTGCCCTTTCTCAGTAAGACACATGGCTCCTGGATCTACTAAACAACAGGGCATTTCCCTTCCACTTTGGGCAAACTCACATTTATATTTCCATGTACGTCTTTGTATGGACACAGACTGACATTCTCATCCACATCTCAGTGTAAGGCACCTGCATGCCAAGACCGTGTTTGCAAGGGTAAGTTGGATAAAACTGAAGCTGGCAAAAGTACAGGGTAAGAAAAGAATACATACAGGCTTTTAAAAAATGAGACTCTGAATGGAGAAAGTTGACTTACAGAGAAGGGCTCAGCTGTCACTGGCTCAGGCGAGGGCAGTCACTTCAGCTCTGTCGGCTTCGAGCTCAACCCTGAACCCCTTATTTTCTGGTTTCGGAGGTTAAGATGGAGCTTGTTGGTTAAGCCCAGGAGGTAGTGGCTCTATCCAGAGGGCAGAATGCAAGGAAGGACCTGTGTCCTGAGCAGCCCAGCTGAGTGCTCGTGTGAAACACTAACACCAGCTATGCCGGTTCCCCGTGACCAGACACCGGGAGACACTGCACAGGAGGGGCCCCAACTCCTCTCACTGCACACACAGACGCAGGTGTTTCAAGAAGAGTGAAATGTAAATATGGGAGTAAGCCTGAAGTGAAATTCTTGGAAGGGCCAAGTCAGACTCACTTTTTGAAAAGCAAGTGAACGTAGGCAAGCTTTTCAAAAGCAAGGAGAAGGAAGAGCAAAGCGGGAGCTCAATCTAAGGCTGGCAACACCCTGGCACCTGGGCAGCACCTCCCCTAGGCAGGTGCGGGCTGTCTGTCTGTCTCCCAGATCGCACAGACTAGACAGACAGCAAACCCAAGCAGAAACCATCTGCAAACCTGGCTCCCACCTAAACCTCTCTCCCTGCCCACCACAGAGAGTTCCCCACATCCACACTTCTTCCCAGTTTAACCACAGCTACTCCTATCACTCAAACAGTGCGAGAAAGGCATCTTTCCTCTCCATTTGGACCACTGATCACACGGGGTGACAAATGATGGGTTTGAGATAGGAGATGGGCAGGGAAGTGGTAAGGGGGTCTTTTCTGTGTGAGCCTTTTGCTGGTGCCTTGGTAAAAGCCTACAGGAAAAGGAAGCGTGTTCATCCCCTGGGGACAGAGATGGGTCTGGGAGCAGCTTGCAGGCAGCAGGGCCCGCCCCTCTCCCACCTGGAACAGAGGCCTGCCCTCTGGACACCTGCACAGGGAGGAGTGGCCAAGACCCACTGTCCAGGGAGCAGCAGCAAAGAAAATCAAAGGACTAGTAGGACTTGGACCATGTGTAGGTTACAGTAGGGTGGGCGCCACCTCTAAGCGGCATAAGGAGGGAACCTGACATGGAAGGAGAGCAGGCTGGGCGCTGGGTTCAAGTGTGGTGTTCCTGCCCATCGTGCAAGGCAAGTAACACTTTTTTTTCCAGACCAGATGACCTGGTACCATGAGAAGGTGTTAGATTCTCACTGTTGGGATGTAAAATGTTAGGTTGTGAGAATATTCAATCACAACACGAAAAGGGTGGTGCGTATGCCAGCTGGGGGCCTGCACTCCTCCCACTGCCCAGAGGTGACTGGTACCATCCGATTTGTGAGGAGTCTCTTGGCTCCTATTTAACTGGTCTGGGGGAAGCCTGCACACTTCACCTAAACTCTCAGGAAAGGCTCATCAGATCTCACTCCTCCTTGTGAAGGCCACAGGCCCAGTCTGCCCTGCTACCCAGCCTCACACGGGGCAGGCAGGGCCATCTCCTGGCGCAGCTGGGCTAACCAGGTCCACTGCCAACTGCTCCCCTCAGGCATGTGCTTGGTTTCCAGCACCAGAGGGCAACACTGCTCAAAGGGATGATGGATCAGAACCTTGCTGGCTGCTATTTCACCCGACAGCCTGTTCCACTTCTCACTACAGGAAACCTGCCCAGCAGTTGCAACATGTGGAGCATTCACAGAGAGTAAAACCCCAGGAATCCTGAAGCCAGAGCTACTGCAGGAGGAAAGCAAGGGGCCCGCAGCACAGGGTACAAGCCGTGAACTAGGGATGTGAGGAAAAGAGCACACGGACAAAAGCCAAGAATACTCCCACCCACTGAGATCAGAAGCCTCCCCAGCAGAGGCACGCACAACTTCCTGGCGAAGAGTTCCATGATGATCTAGGGGGCAGAAAGAGCCCAGAGACACGCCCTGCCCCCTAGGCCACAGCAGGACTGGCAGTGACCAGGGTGCACAGTGAAGAGCTGGTGACACTGGTCCACTGGTCCAGGTGGGAATCAGGTAGACGTGCACAGCACTGGACCCTGGCAGCAAAAATAGCTCGGGGCAGCCTCCATAGAGCACAGAGAGCAAGCAAAGCAACCCTGAATTCCTGTTCATTATTGGTTTTGTTCTTTGTGTGGTTGGGTATTTTTTTCTTCTTTTCTTTTAAATGAAAAAGCTGCAAGGTTCCACTGTCTGCACTCCCCTTGAGATGGCTGGCAGGTGGTCTGGAAGCGTCCCGGATGGCGGTGAGCTGCGCTGGGGCACGTGTCCTGGCAGCGAGGGCAGGGCTGCGGGCCGTCACTGCACGGCGGCGTCTGGGTGGCTCTGGTATCTGTGCCTCCACACCTCCTGGATCTTCTTGCACCATTTGTGAGCATTCCCGCTTGGGTCCATCAGGTAATATGTCCTATTTGGCTGCAGAGAAAGAAACCGTTTAATGTTCTCAAGGGACTGAGTCTCCCCAAGACCAGTACCTCCACCTGTTGGGGAGAAATCGTAGAACAAAACTGCCATCCTACTGCAGCCTCTGCAGGTACCTCTGGAAGTACACGAACATGTGGACTTCTTCCTTCCACACATGTGCAGAGATTAAATATGCCAGGTGATGACCTACAGATCCCTCAGGTCACCCCCAAAGTGAGAAACAAGTACAGGTTTCTTCCAGCCCAACTCAAGACTGAGTCATGAACATGGGGGACCTGGGACATGGGAAAGGGGGAGACAACTGCCTTGACCCCAGCTCCCCTTCTCAGGCTACAGTATTTGGACGCTTCAAACGGAAGTCCAAAGGCCTCAAACTGCCCTGCAAAGGAGAACACATAGGGACAAACTCACTGTGTGCACAAAGAAGGTTTTAAAATTCTTGGCCTCTGGTCGGAGTTCTTGTGACCATGGAATTTCACCTTTCAGGACTTTGTTGACAGGATCCACATAGTATAAGTGTGGCCCCTCTGTGAGTAGTAACTGTCGTCGTCGTGCAAATAAACCCTGACCAAAAAAAAAAAGGCCTTGTCAAAGCTCAGAAGTGGGTGATGACAGTGCTTACCGCTGCCTCAGAGGCTGGACTGTCAGAATAGCTCAGGGCACAGGGACTAGTGCCAGGCACCTATCCACTCACCCGGGACAAAGGGAGTGTGCACACTTCATCCCCCAGCCTTGGACCAGAGAATGGAAGCATTTACTGCTTGGTTTTGGTGAACCGGCTTCCATTACCCCCACTCTGGGTATCCTTACTTTGGTTGCCACATCAGGGAGTGGCAGCACAGGCCAGCCCCCACCGCTTCTTGCCTTCTGCTCCACACTAAGGCACAGGGCTCTACCACTGGCCACTCACACCTCACCCATCTTCACGGAGGTTCTCATCCACTAAGGATGCTCCAGGGTGGGTCAGAAATGGATGTCAGGAGCCTGAGCTTAGAAGGGCCCATGTCAGCAGATGGAGAACATTTATACAGTCTGATATGTTTTGATAAAATTAACCCACTTTATTAATCCATAAAACATAATAAATAACAATTTTCTTTTTAACCCGCACTCGAGTGCCTGCCCCAAATCCCGAGACGCATGGGTCTCTATACATAACAATTTTCAAAAACAATTTTAGCCCAGCCAGTTTAGCTCAGCAGCTAAGAGTCAGCCTCTGGACCAAAGGGTCTCAAGCTCAATTCCCAGTCAAGGGCACGTACCTGGGTTGCAGGTTCAATCCCTATCCCAGTTGGGGTCTTTTGGGAGGTAACCAATCGAAGTGTCTCTCTCACACTGATGTTTCTATCTCTCTCCCTCCACCTCCCTCCCTTCCACTCCATCTAAAAATAAATAAATGGAAAAATATCCTCGGATGAGGATTAACAAAAACAAAACAAAAAAAGAATTCTAATGAAATGATAGATGACTTGCAGGGATGTCAAGCAGAGCCTTCTCAATGGGACAGAAACTCTGACATCAGTGAACCCAGTCTCATGGACACACCAGAACGCTGACTCCTGAGAATAAACAAAAGGCTCTATTTCTGTTTTGCCACAGCTGAATAGCTGAACTCTCCTTCAGCTATTAAATCTAGAGATCATCTCTAAAAGGGAATCAAAATGAAGGCTGCTATGTGCAACAAGTTACAGCAGGAACCCGAGAAGAAGGCTTGAACCTGAGTAGGAACCAGAAGGGAGAGACAGACACACAGGAAGGAACGGCGGCGGGTCTGACTTACCTTTCGCTTATCTACGGGACCCATTTTTAGTATTAAATTATTTTCTACAAACTGATGCCTACAAAAGAAGAAAACAAGAATGAGACACTCACATGAGTCAGACAGAAATTCTCCAAACTCCTCCCTTCAAAACAAACTTACCAATGGCATCTGTGAACTTTGCTTCAACCAAGCCTTTCCCTTCACAGCTCCAAACTCACTTCAATGTGAGGAAACCCCAATGTAACTGAGCACATGACCAGATACCAGAAGTATCACCTCCTGTCCCCTCTCACTTGGCAGCCTTCACACAACCGAGGAAAGGTAGAGGGAGACAGGGTGCAGAGCTGAGCCCATCACACAAGTCCTTATCAGTTTAAACAAAATGAACCGAGACATGAAACTCCTCCAAAAAAGCAGAGCCCGCTGGGAGCCAACCCGAGGACAAAGCCTACTGTTCACGTTACCTCCACAAGTTGAAACCCCAAGTCAGTGTTCAGAATACCCAGAGCCACTCAGAATCATAAATCCAAGAAGGCTCAAACTGGACTTGTTTTAAGAACATCACATCTGGCCCTGGCCGGGTAGCTCAGCTGGTTAGAACATTGTCTCGATACCCAAGGTTGTGGGTTGCATCCCCGGTCAGAACACATACATGAATCAACCAATGACTGCATTAATAAGTGAAACAACAAATCGATGTTTCTCTCTCTCTAAAATCAATAAAATAAAAAAAGATTTCATCTGGTGTTTCTACCATAGTTAATAAAATGCTTTTAATTAAACATGGCAGGAATTTGGAAGAGAAAGCTTCAAATACAGGTTTTGGTTTAATATACATAATTAGCAAAATATATGTCACTTTGATTCCTGGGAGTTTAAAAGAGGTTGCTTTAATATTTGCAGGTTATGTCCTCTGGTTAAAGCTAACAGTTACTGGTTTATGTTCTAATTTTACTAAAATTCTTGATCCAACATTCTACTGTAGAAACAAAATATTTTATATTTGAAAACATGTAAGACAAACTCATCTCTGACAATTTTACCACATAAGCACCTGAGCGCATCCACATGCTTCTCTGATTCCTTTCGGGACCAGGAACATGTTCAAACTGACTGGCCGAACTGCTGGAACCATGTTCTCCCAGTCTGACCCACCCACACCAACCCACACCCTAGAGCCCATTGGGCTTGCCTACCCAGACCCTATCACCATGGAATGAGCCCCACGCAAACTGATGCAGCATCATGTGGATTTTGAAAACAACTAAGAAGAATTTTAACAACAACAACAAAGGACAGTGATCTACACATTTACAGTGTTTCATTCTCAGAGGTACTTAAAAATCAAGGAAATTTCTGAAAAGGAGATCTAATGAGGCTCTCTTGCAAGACAGAATTACATGGAAAAAACAGTGCAGCCTAACAGAAAACATCTTCTGACAGGCCCTGTTACATAAGAACCCAATGTATAATAAAGAATCACAAGTTAGCCCTAGCCAGCTCAGCGGTTAGAACGTCAGCCTGCAGACCGGAAGGTTGCAGGTTTGATTCCTGGTCAAGAGCAGTCATGTGCACGTGCTCTCTCTCTCTCCCTGTCCCTCCCTCCCACTCTATCTAAAAATTAATGAAGCCCTGTAGGTGTGGCTCAGTGGATTGAGCATCATCCCATGGACTGAGGGGTCCTGGTTTAATTCCCGGTCAGGGTACATGCCTGGGTTTCAGGCTCGATCCCCAATAGGGGGCATGCAGGAGGCAGCCAATTGATGTTTCTCTCTCACATAGCTGTTTCTATCTCTCTCTCCTTTCCCGTCTCTCTCAAAAAATCAATAAAAAACATATTTTTAAAAATGTTGAAAAAAAATCAATAAAAAATATCCTCGGTTGAGGATTAACATCAACAACAAAAGAATCACAAGTTAATAATAAGGGGAAGACTTTAATTATACTAGGGCAGGGAGGAGAGTGTCAATTTAAGCCCAGGCCAGTTCAAGACCTCAGCTAGCCAGGCTGCTGGGGTGCTGGGCTGGTGGCATTAGATCATCAGGGAAGCCTGACAGACAGTAAAGGAAAGAAAAGACCTCTTAGCATTTTTGCAGCCTCACACAGATTAATGGGATAGACAGTTTAAAATATTAAATCAAACAAGTGAAGAACTAGAAGAAAAAGAGAAGGAAATACTGGTCAAGCCTAGGTGGGAGGGCTTACATTTTTAAGCTGGGAACAAAACAAGTCACCTAATACAGAGTAATATACATGACTACATGAGAACAAGAAGAACCTCAAATTACAAAAACAACCAAAATTAACAAGAAAACACACTGGAGAAGATTTTCAGCAAATACAATATCTGTACTTTACAGAGCATCTACAAAGTGGCTGACATAAAAAGCTTAAAACCTCAATGGTCAACGATACAAATTGGAAAGTCCCCAAAGAGGAATTAAATGACCCAAAAAAATTCTCAATAAAGAAATGAAACCGCCCTGGCCGGTTTGGCTCAGCGGTTAGAGCGTCGGCCTGCGGTCTGGAGAGACCCGGGTTCGGTTCCCGCTAAGGGCACGTACTTCGGTTGCAGTTTGTCCCCAGCCCTGGTTGGTCGTGCGGGTGGCAGCCACTCGATGTGTCCCTTTCACGTCGATGTTTCTCTCTCTCTCTCCCTCCCACTCTATCTGTACAAAAAATGGAAAAATGCCCTCGGGTGAGGATAAAAAAAAAAATAAAAATAAGAAATGAAACCGACACGCTGGCTGGTTTGGCTCAGCGGTTAGAGCATCAGCCTGTAGACCAAAGAGTCGTGCGTTTGATTCCGGTCAAGGGCACATACCTTGGTTGTGGTTTGGTCCCGGCCCTGGTGGGGGTCGTGCAGCAGGCAACCAATCGGTGTGTCTCTCTCACATCAATGCCCCCCCCACCACTATATCTGAAGATTAATGGAAAAATATCCTCAGGTGAGGATTTAAAGAAAAAGAAAAATGAAACTGAGCCTCTTTCACATATTCTATTGAAATGCATTGGTGAACAGGCAAGTGCCACAAGGATGCTGTGGAAGGGGTGGTCTCACTCAGCACCTGAAATTAGGACCTGCTGAAAAAGCAATTTGGAAATAATGTACTGCTGAGTAGTCCCACTTCCAAAAATCTATCCTAAGGAACAAAAGACAAGCAAAGACCAGAAACCACCCACATTCACACTGTGAATCTGAAGCCACAAAATGGTTCAGCAACAGAACATTCTGGTACCACATGGAAACAGACGAGCTCCTTCCTGGTCCCTGCAGAGTGAGGACCCCAAATGACAGGCATCAGTCTGTCTGAGGCACATGGATGCACATTCTCTCTCCCTCATACATGCCTGCCAGCACACAGCCACCTCTCCCAGGGTCTCTAATTACAGGACATAGGAGAGACACTGGTGTTCCAGATGGTGAAGAGCTGATGCTGGACTCCTGACCAGATCCAGTGCCTGGGGTGAAATGAGCTTAGGAGTAGGACTCAAGGAGGTGGACAGAGTTGGTCAGAAGCTCCCTTATTAGCATGAACACCAGTCTGTTCACTTAGTTAATTAATTAGTTCAAACAGGCTACTAGTTATTTATCTACTTTGAAAAGTTTAAGTACTTAACAGAATCCTTTTGATTTTTGTACTTCAAAGAATCAATTCCTACTCTCCTGAAGAAACCACCCCTTCCCCCACATTAGGCACCTTTTTCTCTCTGGCAGGTGACTGGTGCAGTCTACAGATTCAGAGCTGAAAGCAGACCTAAGTCAGAGACATATCTAACTCTTGGCATGCAGTTAGCATGTATAAGAGGCTTTACCACAGCCCCCAAGATCACACACAGCCTTCTGAGTGCCCCCCCAACAGGCTACATTTATCATCACCTCATTATAGATGTTGATGCAGGGGTGCAGGGTCTCATATTTGCCCCGTCCTTTTATGAGGGGTGACAGTGTAAAATCCCCCTTGAAGAACTTCCTGATCCAAAGCCAGGGTCTTCTCATCACCCTATCCCATCCCACTCAGACCCCAAGAACACCAGTTTCAAGGATACAAGATTGAAGCCACCAGCAAGCTAGAGCTATTTTAGGACACAGCCACCAGGGAGAGCCCAGTGAGGCTGCCAGAGAGGCTCTGTGTGACCACCTCGCTCTAAAACACCCGCCCTCAAACCTTCAGGTCTCAGAACCCCTTTATACTCTCAAATCTCATGAACTCCCTGACCGGTGTTCTCAGTGGTTAGAGCGTCGGCCACACACTGAAGGGTTATTGGTTTGATTCCCAGTCAATGACATGTACCTGAGTTGCCCCAGTCAGGGTACATGCAGGAGGCAACCAACTGATGTGCCTCTTATCACATCAATGTTTCTCTTTCTCTCTCTCCCCCCGCCCCCTCTACATCACCCTTCCACTCTCTCTAAAAATCAATGGAAAAAATATCCTCGGGTGAGGATTAACAAAAAATAAAAGAAAAAAATAAAAGACTTTATGGAAGGACCCTCAAGAGCTTTCCATAATTTGGGTTATGTCCATTAATATTTACTATGAGAAATTAAAACATTTTCAAGTATTTAATTTATTTAAAAAAAACAACTGTCACCCCAATAAATTCAATAAAAATAAAAAATTAAACAAAAATAATAAACCCATTACATGTGAATATAATTGACATTTTCATTTAAAAAATAACTTTTCTGCCAAAGATAATTAATGAGAAGCATGACTACTGTACATTTGTAAATCTCTTTAATATCTGGCTTCAGGGAAGAGAGCTATACTCTCCTACCAGCCTCTGCCTTTACTCTACTGCAATATGTGAGCTGAAGGACATGAAAAACTCAGCCTCACTCAGGTAAGTCACTGGAAAAAGGAGGAGCATTTTAATAGCCTTTTCAGATATTTGTGGGCATATTTCTTTGATACAGCACCCAAATTCGACAAGTGTAGTTTCTTAAAGGTTAGCTGCGGTGTGGAATCTGAATCCCCAACAATGAATTTTTCATATTCTGTGACATCAGAATTCATCGATTGACCTTGCACTTTGTTTTTCTTTTTTACATTATTTAAGCCTGGCCCTGACCAGTTTGGCTCAGCGGTTAGAGCGTCGGCCTGCAGACCAGGGAGTCCCGGGTTCAATTCCAGCCAATAAATGTGTCTCTTTCACACTGATGTTTCTCTCCCTCTCTATCTGAAAATAAATGCAAAAATGTCCTCAGATGAAGATTAAAAAGCTCATTATGTGTACTTTTAAAATATTAAATTCCTTTATCTTTGAAACTCTAAATGATTGTTCTCAAAATGCTGCACCTTAACTGGCATCATAACAGTATGCAAAAATGTTTGGTTTATAGATACAAAACGGCAAAGTATTAACACCTATAAAGCCAAGGAAAAGATAGCTTTTGACCTATTTTTGTTTCATATTTACAGTTTTACCCAGTTTCTCTGGAGTAGAATCCTCCCTTCCATGCATCAGTGAACTCTGATATGTGTCTTCTTTTTAGCATCTTTAGACTTGGGGGGTGCTGCTATGGGTTGAGAAAGCAAGTCTTCTCCCTTTTTAAGTCAGTGATCCATACTCACATATAAAAAAATATAAATGTTCTTTTATTTTAATCCTTACCCGAGGACATTTTTTGTTTGCATTTATCTTCAGATAGAGCGGGAGGGACAGAGAGAGAAAGAGAGAGAGAGAAACATCGATGTGAGAGAGACACATCGAGTGGTCTCCACCCACACAATCCCAACGGAGGCTGGGGACAAACTGCAACTGAGGTACGTGCCCTTAGCGGCAACCAAACCCAGGACTCTCTGGTCTGAGGGCCGACGCTCTAATAGTTGAGCCAAACCAGCCAGGGCAAATGTTCTTTTATTTTAAAATAGCTCATTAAAATCTAAAGTAGCAGCTGCAGACACAATTTAGAAAGGTTTTTTGGAAAATTTTAATGTTATTGTAAAACAAGTCAACAAAGTGTACTTACTTGTATTTCCATGTTAGGCACGAAGAAAACTTCAGGATTTCAAAGAAATTATTTAAATGATACAGTTATAGTAATTATAGCAGGTATAACTAAAGACAGCTACTAAGAGCCTAGTAGCAATACCAAGAATTTAATACTCTCTAAAAATTCACTGTCAAAATTTATGACAGACTTAAGCAAGAAAGGAATCAGGAAGGCCTGTGGGAGGAGCTCTCTCACACCATTTGTTGGTTGTTAAATCCCTACAGAGAGAACTCTAGGGTTACAGCAGAGCTCTAAGGTTAGAACAGCCCCTCCCCTTATCTTCCTCTTTCCCTGAGTAAAGAATTTCCTGATTCTTGAAATGTGGCTTTCCATGTCAGATTACAATCCTTCTTCCCCACCCCCACCTTGGGAATCCTTTGTGCAGATGGAATACCTACCTGACTTTTTGTTTAGGGTGGACAGCACATTATTTAGACTGTAAACCAACTTCTTTGCAAGATTCAAAAAACACATCCATTAGCCATCAACACAATAATGTCATCCCTACAGTGTGTAGCCTCTGAAAAACTCTACTGTACATTCATAGAGAGTGAATAAAGCAAATATTGTTTTAGTAGTATTACAGAAATATTATTATGGTCTGTGGGCCATACACTGAGAACCTCTATTCTAAAAATCAAAATGCTTGACGGATCTCCCACTGGCCAAATAAGTGACGCCTCAAGCTCTTGGTAGTCATCAGCCTCCAAAAGGGCCTGAACCAAAAGGAAAGGGAGAAAACCTGGAACAAAAAGAGGAGGCAAGAGGCTGAACATTGTGACTTGCCATCAGGTGCTCCATTCTACCCAGAACTATAGGCTAAAGGGCCTGTGCCACCAGGGGCCTCTTGAAAACGCCTAAGGCAAAGGCAAGTGGGCCTTCTGGGGAGTCCCCCACATGACTGCAACAGCACCTCTCCAGTGCTCTGCTACTGGCCACGCTCTTGGGGAGGACTCAGCAGGTAGGTATCCCAGGAAGCTCTTGCACAACCCAGGCACACAGACCTGCCTAGAGCGTGTGGTCCACCAGTGTTCAAAATGTTTTGATCAAAGCCCCTCTCTCCTCAGTACACATTAGTACTCCTGGTAATACCTATTTAGGAAATATGGATTCCTGAGAAGTGTAGAGTATTTCAGCTGGCCACCATCTATACTCACTTTTTCTAGACGCAGTAATTTTTAATAGCACAAACTCTAGCTTCACCCATGTGCTGCTTTTCCCCTGCATCCACCCCCTCCTTGCTTCCCTCCTCCACATGACTGCTCCTAAGTCACATGCATTCTCTCTCATGCCCAGGCAATCCCTTAAATCCTGCCCTACTTCTCCTTCCACCTCCACGTCCAACATGACTTCCTGGAAGACAGCGCTCACCATGACCCCTGGCCTTGGGCTCCTTTCTGCCCATTCAGAAGGTGAAACTACAAAAATCTGTGAGGAAAATGTAAGGGTGAAGAAGTTCTTCTCAACATCACCAAGGTGGAGAACAAAATAAAAACACGAACAGGTTTAACTTTGTAAGAATTTTCAACTTTCATTCAAAAACATACAGACAGACTGAAGAGATAAACTGAAGAAAAATGTTTGCAGAATAGACAATAAATATTCTTCATGTCTATGGCTCTTTCCTTTTTTTCTTTAATCCTCACCCGAGGACATTTTTCCATTTCTTGTTCAGATAGAGTGGGAGGGAGAGAGAGGAAGAGAGAGAGAGAGAGAAAGAAACATCAACGTGAGAGAGACACATGGAGTGGCTGCCACCCACACAACCCAAACCGGGGTGGGGACAAACTGCAACCGAGGTACATGCCCTTAGCGGGAACCAAACCCGGGTCTTTCTGGACCGCAGGCCGACGCTCTAACTGCTGAGCCAAACCGGCCAAGGCATGTCTAATGCTCTTAAAAGCCAATTTAAAAAAAATGCAAAACAGCCCTAGCCAGTTTGACTCAGCAGTCAGAGCATCAGCCCGTGGACCAAAGAATCATGGGTTTGATTCCAGTCAAGGGCACGTACCTCAGTTGCAGTTCAATTCCCGGCTCTGGTCAGGGTTGTGCAGGAGGCAACCAGTCAATGTGTCTATCTCATGTCAATGTTTCTCTCTCTCTCTCTCTCCTACTCTATCTGAAGATAAATGGAAAAGTATCCCCAGTGAGGATTAAAAAAGAAATCAAAACATATAAGAAGAAAAACAAAGGACACAAAGTACCTTGAAACATAAATACAAATGGCCAATGAATCTAGGAGATGTTTGCTTTGATAAGAATACAAATGCAAATTCACATGAGCCCATATTTAGAGCATCAAAATGCTCAAGGACAGGCTTGACCACTGGGGAAGCTGGGGTTCTCAGGCACTGAAGATATAAAGCACTGCTTTCTTAAATGTACATACCTTCACTCCACCTGCCATGCCAAGACTCCACCTTAAAAAAAAAAATTCACCCCCGGCCAGTTTTCTCAGTGGTTAGAGCGTCGGCCTGTGGACCAGAGAGTCCTGGGTTCCATTGCCGCTAAGGGCACGTACCTCGGTTGCAGTTTGTCCTTGCCCCAGTTGGGGTCATGTGGGTGGCAACTAGTCAATGTGTCTCTCTCACATCGATGTTTCTTTCTTTCTCTTCCCCCCACTCTCTTCCTCCTGCTCTATCTGAAGATAAAAGCAAAAATGTCCTCGGGTGAAGATTAAAAAAATAAAAAAGAAAAATAAATATTCAGACAAGTGGAAAAAACTATGTGCAAAGGATGACTTACAATACCAAAAACTCTAGAACACCCCAAATGTCTCACCATGGAGCAGTGGTTATTTAAATCATGGTGAATGAATGCCCAGCTGGTGTGGCTCAGTAGTTGAGCATCGACCCACGCACCAAGAGATCACTGGTTCGATTCCTGGTCAGGGCACCGGACCAGATTGTGGGCCCAATCTCCAGTGGGGGGTATGCAGGAGGCAGCCAATCGATGTTCTCTCTCATCAATGTTTCTATCTCTCTCCTTCTCCCTTCCTCTCGCTCTAAAATCAATAAAGAAAAATATTTTTAAAAATCAATCAATCAATCAATCAATCATGGTGAATCATGTCTGAACACAGATGCGAGCATGCCTGGCCTGCTGATTCCCAAGAGCTAGAGCCGACAGAGTCCCAAACGCACTCACTCCCAGCCCAACGCTTCTGAATACCTACTTCCGGTTGGACTCTTTGAGGGGCCTCACTGCAGAGTGTTAATGGCAATTTTGGGAGGCGTGAGGTGGTACGGAGCCTCACAGACAGTGGTGATGAAGGTTGGATGCTTGCTCTGTTTACTGTGTCTCACATTCCCATTATTCCACTCTGCATTTTTAAAGGGAGTACTGCTTATGCCTATAAATTCTTACCAAGGGTTTCCACTGGCCTGCTTCTCCAATAATAACCTCTTCTCGTCTTCAGAAAACTGTAAGTCCAGTTCAAAAGAATTAGTGTCCAGGTCATGGATATACTGCTCGATGTTGCTGCCTGCCCTCTGTGGTAGACCCGAGTCCGAGGCAGACAGGGAGTGGGAGGATGACGACGATGACACCTGCATGCAGCCAAACTGGCTCAGGAGATTGTCGTACTGCACAGAGAATAGGGAAAAGTGAGAACGGTGTCCTAATTTTCCCTACGGTCCAAAGATGCAGACACACTTTGACGTACCCTACACCAACAAGCTCACAGCCTAAAGGCCCCTAAGCCCAGGTGTGAGATGAGCCTTGGAGCCGCAGCCCACCTCTGCTTCTCCAGGTAAGTGTGGGCAGATCTGATTTCTCCTCCAATGGACAGCTAGCTACTAAACCAAGGGCTGGATCCTGCCTGGTCTGGGTCCCCTTTCTGAGGAAAACATGAGAAAATGCCTGCCTCAAAGAGCAGTCTTCATCTCCAGGAAAGGAAGGCTTCTGAGAGCCCCTGTGCTGCCCTGACTAGATGGGCTTAGGATACCTTCTGGGTAGAGGTGGGGTGGGAACCTATGGCCCCAGAAAACTGACCCTCCTGGGTGCAGAGACTTAGTAGCAGGATCCTGTGAGCTCAGAACCTTTCTCCTTTAGCCCCATGGCCCTATGTCTCTTGGTCTACGGCTGTCACTACATATAATAATTTTACCGTGTTCAATTAAAAAAAATCCTTTTAATCTTTTTTTTTGGTATGTGCCCCTAGTGGGAACCAAACACGGGACTCTCTGGTCCATAGGCCGACGCTGGCCAGGGCTTTCCTTTTAATCTTAGCAAAGATTAATTAAGCTTAATATAGGCAGAGTTGCCTGCTATTCTGGAGAAAGCTATAAACCACTGGTGACACAGAAAACAAAATGACTCATAAATGTACCAAATAGGCAGAAGCTGTGCTCTTGCACACTCCTGGGCTGCTGTATAGCCAGCCCCAACATAGCTAACAAAGAGGAAAAGGAAGATGCCACCAGGAACAGGCAAGATGAGAGGGCAGTGTGTTGTTCCAAGTCCCCTGTGCCTCCAGAGGGATGACTCCCTCCTACAGACCCTGCACCCACCCTCCTCATGTGCTGCCCCGAGCAGCCTTCTTCCACGTGCTCACACAGCTCCAATAGCAGCCTTAGCCCTGCCTCACTGGCTCCCAGGTAGGAGTGATCCTACGACACTCCTGTGGCCCCTCCATCCAAGGCCTGGCACAGTTTCTGCTTCTTCTCTAAACCACCCCCACCCCCGCCAAGGCCACCCCTCTGGGCAGCGTCTTGCAGTTTACAGAGGCTTCCGTAAGTCTCCCTGGGTGTCTCAACAAGCCTGAGAAGCCAGTGAGATAACTGTTAGATCATCCCCATTTCTGAAATAAGGCTCAGAACTGGGCCAAGGTCACAACCCAATGGCCAACACCAAATTTAGAACTAGTCCCGTGTCTTTCCAATGCAATGACTGCCTTGCTACCATGGCGGAGCTGCTGGCTGACCACCATGACCACTGCTTGCTGGGTGAGTCCTGTCTTGGAGGCTCCACTCTACTGTTCCCCAGGGAAAGCTCCAGATGCTCCCTCTGCACTCTACTCTTCTCCCCTCAGCAGCACCTAGTACAGACCAGCACGAAACCCCAAACCTAGAAAGGACACATGACAAGAGGTGACACTGGGCTGGAGTGGAGGTGCTCACCAATGCATAGTGAGAAAACACCAGACTGTGCTGAACACTGAACTTTTCTCCAGTGTCCACTCGGATTCCAGACACAAGCAACACCATCAGCGACCAGCATGGGGTTAGGAACACAGATGAGAATAGGGTCCCTTCTCTCTTCATTCCCTAAATAAAGACACGTTTCTGCTCCTTGAATTCAGAGGGAAGTCCTTTTCCTGCTGAAAGGACACTAGACTCTTTTGGAGCCTCACAGATGGTGAGACTGCCCCTCTGTGACACAATGTCAAGCCCTGTAGGAAGGGAATGTCTCCTTGAGCAGTTTCCTCTGTATTTGATAACGTTCCAGGTCAAAGTCTTTTCCAAGGCTCACTAAACTGTCCAAAAGTGAAGTGTGGTATAGGGAGCTCAGCCCGAGTACTTTCCAAGGCTTTCAAACCACACAGCCTTCAAAGCTGAGGATAAGCCATCTAACAAAAAGCAAGCTGTTAACATGTCGAGTTGGTTTGAGATGGCAACAGTTGAATACTGAGAAGCCAGAGATCTCAACATAGTGAAGGCAATGAAACTTCAGAGAGAGGGCCTGAAAGACACTCAAGTGTGTGTGTGTGTGTACACACATACAAACAAACATGCATATGTACACACTCACACACACATGCTTCATGAAGCCAAGCTTCCCAGGCACTAAGATCTGAGACACCTGGGGCCTAATCAGCTCCATCAGAGCTCAGTTAACAGAGCATGCTGCTTCCCTGGGATACCCCTGCCAAAGGTACTGGAGACACTAACATGCTCCTGCTAGCCATGACTTAGGAATGACAACAGGGTGAGGGGAGGAAGTCCTAGGGCTGAGCCCTCTGCCATCTGTATACATGGAGGCCGCAGACAGCCATGACCACTGCAACAAGGAAGCAGGTCAGGCTCCCTTCAAGTCTGGGCACAAAGGATATTTGAGGCCCTGGTTAGTTTGGTTCAGTGGTTAGAGAGTTGGCTCACAAACCAGAGTCACAGGTTCAATTGCCAGTCAAGGGTACATACTTGGGTTGCAGGTTCAATCCCTGGCACCGGTCGGAGTCATGAGGGAGGAAACCAATTGATGTCTCTCAAATCGATGCTTCTCTCTCTCTCTCTCTCTCTCTCCCCCCACTTCCTCCCTCCCACTCTATCTAAAAATCAATGAAAATAATATCCTTGGGTGAGGATTAAAAAAAAAAGGATATTTCAGAATAAGCAAAGGGGTATGTGTTGCTCACAACAGTAGGTAGAAAACATAAGGAGCTCTTGATTTCTAAGAGGTGATACCAGTAATAATTTCAATTTGACTCTGGATGACTCTTAGATAGAGTCTAGAATTACCATATCAACTAAAGTGGAACTCTACACACAATTTGTTAGAATAAGCCACAGTGATAGAACTCAAGCCAGAAAAATGTACTATCAATGATAATAAAAACACCTGAAGGTGGGTGGTGGGAACACTGCAGCTCATTGTACTCCTCTGTCCAATTCCACATGCTTCATAAGAAAAATTTAAAGAACAAAGTGTACTCCAACCTACATCTGCGTTCAAGCTGGTGACTACCCACATGCCCAGGTGCTGCACCTCTTGGCTTGTACCACAGTCCCCACTTCTACCAGGAACTATAAGCTGACACAGAGCAATATCATTCTCAGTACCATGTTTCCAAAAAGTCCAAAGCAGTAACACTCCAGGCTTCTCTTGGAAAGATCAGACACATTCCAGAATGGCTTTATACATATGATTATAAAGGCACCAGCCAAGAGCATAAGACAGATGCCTACCAGGAGACTTGGCACCCAGGAACACAGAGAGGAAAGGGGGGGGATACAGGTACTGCTCCCACTAGCTCCAGACTCCTCCACCCATTATCTGGCTCTGGTTCAATCCCTATGGGTAAAAATTAACTAGAAGAAATGAGAAAAAGGGACTCGACCACCCCAGGGCCTAGAGACCTGCACTTGGGGAAGACATGCAGACAAAAGCCACTTTGAGCCCAGTCCTCGATGAGACTGAGACTGGGGCTGCAAAGGGTTCCACCACCACCAGGTATATGCTGGCTTCCCCTTGAGCCATTTATCCCATGAACTGGAGTCTCGTGGCCCATGAGCACAAACTTTCTAAGCGCAGAGAAACTATTTTCACAAAGCATGACAAGCAGAATTTGTCTCTGCCTGGGCCATTCCCGGCACACATGCGCCTGCTTACGTTTCCATAGCAGTCTTCGTCATCTTCTGACATGGCTGGTAAGTAAGCTGTGAGTTTTGGAGGTGTCTGATGATGCAGATTTTCCCATGTGATGGACTCAAAGAATGAATGAGCTTTCAGAGGGCTGTACCCTTCCATTTCTTCACAGCCTAATCGCTTTGTGGCATCTAAAACCTTAAATAAAAGTTGAGACATGTCAGTGTTAAAAGGTTCTTTTTGAATAGTTCTTTCAAATTCCCAGTATCTCCTAGAAATAGAAAGGATCTGTGGCCCATCACACCTGGTCCCACCATGGGCCAGGGACAGACTGAGTCACTCTCTGGGGTTCCTTTCACGTCACTCAGGTGACAAGGAATCACAACCTCAACATTTAATGAATAGCAGCAAGTATTATTTAAAAATATACAGTTGAAAACCCTAAAATGAGGAGAAGAAAAAAAAGAACTTACCGGTTTTTATTTTATTTTAATTTTTTATTAATTTATTTTGTTACAGATATTTTTCCTTTTTCCTCCACTGATACCCTCCTCCTGATCCCGCAGAACTTACCAGCTTTAATAACAAGAACAAAGAATTTGTCTGGATGGTAATCAATCACAGTCGGGGAGCAGAGAGCCCATGTCTCCCACTAGCACTTAATTTCATAGGGCCCCAGAGCTGTCTCCTTCAGGATTTGGCTGCGTCCCTCCACCCCCCAACCCACAGAGGATCAAGAACACCCTCCCACTGAGGGGACAGACACATGAGGGACAGGTGAGAAGAGGCAGACTATGGCGTTCTCAAGCCACCGAGACAGGACCGACCCTGCTTCCCCAAGATCAAGTTAAAGGACGGTCTAGAGTCAAAGTACCCGAGGGGCAGGGGCAGTGTAATTTCTAGAACCTAGATTCCAAGATGGCTACAGAGTAGGTGGAAGCTACACTCACCTACTCCCAGCCCCAAACTGGATTTACAGCTGTATTATAAAGCAATCAACCTGGATAAGCAACTAAAGGCTAGCTGAACTGACATATAACCAAAGATTTATATAAAAAGCTACATAGAGACTGGTAAGAAGGGCAGAAAGGGCTGGATCCCAAACCCAGGTGCATTGGTGGCTGAGAAGCCAGAGGGATATCACAGCAGCAAGCCCCCCCACCCCGCCCCGGCAAAGCAGTGTTGGGGTATCGACCCTACATTAGGGTCCCCACCCAGAGCAAAAGAAATGGGAAGAGGTGCCCACATAGCAGCTGGTGGTGAAAATCAGTGGAGGATTCAGTCCACCTGGGTGACCTAGATGCCACCTTCCCAGGGATGAGCATTCCTATTGTTACAGCACTAGCCTGGGAGTGCATTGCTCGGTCTCCAACTGCTGGCAAGGTCACTCTGCTATACTCAACTCCGGAGGAGGTGTTTGCTGGCTGCATTCATCAGTGACCTTTAGGGTCCTCTTTCTCTGAGGAAGCTTTTGGCAGAGACTCAGACAGTGACTAAACTGTGTGGCTTTGGAAAAAGGGCCAGTCTCCCCCACCTTCAAGTGTGTAGCCAGTGCCTTTCCCTGCACCTGTTGACTCACTTGGCAGGCCCTGTCCTACTGAGTTCAGCAGTGCAGGGAAACCAGAGTGCCTCGCAGAGCTGGGTCTTTTGGACCATGTGTCCCAAAAGCTTCTGTCTAGGAACCAGATGGATGGGTGCTGGTATGTGCGACTACATCAAAGAGTGGGGGGGGGGGCACTCCTATCTCCCTGGCAAGCTCAGCCCCTGCTACCCCGGGACAAAGAAGAAGCCCTCTCCTACAGGCTTGCAGGCACCACCCCCAACAGGAGACCCAGATACCCTGCCCGGCTGGGCTTGGTTCCATGAGGGGAAGGAAGAGAGGCTCAGAGCTAAGACATTCAAAGTGTGAGTCCCTTGGAGGCTATTGTCTGGGACCAAGACAAAGGGCTTAGTCCTCTCCTATGGGCTGGGCAGGCATCATCCCCAATGGGAGAGAGACTCTTTTGACCTGTCCCCAAGGTCAAGGCAGCTGAGCTTGCTCCTGCAGAGAGAACAGCTGGCAACTCCCAACCTGAACCTGCAGTGAGCCCTTCCATGGGGAACTAGAGTTGGAAACTCTGGTAGAGACTGAGTGGCTTGGCTCTGGAGTAGAGACAACTTTCCCTTCAGTGAGTTCCTGACTGTGTGATCCCCAAGTAGGGGACCCATTAGCCCGTCCTCCCCACCCCATATGCCCTACCCTACTGAGGTCACAACCTGTGGAAGAGGCTGTGACTGGTGGCCAGTCTGGGCCCACTCTATAGTCTTTCTTTGGAAGGCTCTGGAGGAAGACCAGGCAACCTCAGGGGGAGACAGAGTGGCTGACAGATGGAGGCAAATCTCAGAGAGTCTCGGTCCTTTTACAGATCTAACCCCAGCTCTAAGATGGAGGAAGCCAACCTTTATACATAGATTGGTTCCTCCCATGCACACCCAGGTCCAGCAGATGCAGCCACAAATAGTGAACAGTGTGGTAGCTCCAGACAGGTAGCCCAAGATCAGTTACACATATCTAACATTGACTTGCACCTGAACCCCGCCCAAGTAGAACTAGAACCAATAAAACCAATAGTGGGCGTGAGACCACACCAGAGTTCGATAAAACTAGCCAAACAGTGGCACACCCAAAAGGGATTCCAACAGGCACCAGACCCTGATGGGAACAACTTCGCCTTGGGGTCAGACCTTGCACAGTATATCATACATAGTGACTGAGGTTTACCCTTATAGTCAGCCGACCTGAAGGGTTAACTCCACCCACGAAAGGGCCAACAGCCCTTTCAAGGGCTCAACTACAACAGGAGTGCGCACATAACCCTTAAGAAACATTTCTGGAGCACAGAGCTCGGGTGATCTAGAAGATTGTGCACGAAGCCCAACAAGATACCTTCACCATATAGCCATCATAGCAAATTTGGTAGTCATAGAAATCTACCTGATACATACCGTCAAAATGAGAAGACAAAGGAAAATGCCCCAAACAAAAGAACAAGAGAAATCCCCAGGAAAAGAATTAAATGAAATGGAAACAGCCACAATACCAGATTCAGAGTTTAAAATGATGGTTATAAGAATGCTCAAGGACCTTAGGGGAAGAATAGATAATCTCAGTGAGAACTTAAACAGAGATAGTAAGACCCTGGTTTGGTAGCTTAGTTGGTTAGACTGTTGTCCCAATACACCTAGGTTGATCCCTGGTCTGGGCACGTACAAGAATCAACCAATGAATGCATAAATAAGTGGAACAACAAATCAATGCCTCTCTCTCTCTCTCTCTCGTTCACTCCATCCCTCCCTCCTTCCTTTCCTCTCTCCCAAATCAATAAATGAAAGAAAATAAATAAAACAAAACAGAGACAGTAAACATTAAAAAATACACAGAAACCATGAAAAAGAAGCAATCAAATATGAAGAATTCAGTAAAACCTCAGTTCTCCAATATCTCTCATTTCAATCAATTCTATTCTTGACCAAATTATTCACACACAAAAAAATATCTTGGTTGTTGAACAACCCTTTCATGCTGATACATCAGAATAACAGAAAGCATCTCTCAGTCCACAAACAAAGGAAAGAAAGTGAGTCAGTTTATAGCTAAACCTCAAGTCAACATCTTGGGAAATTGTGCCATTAATATTTTTATAAACCAAATAATTTTTTTTTTTTTTTATCCTCACCCGAGGACATTTTTCTATTTTTTATTCAGATAGAGCGGGAGGGAGAGAGAGGAGGAGAGAGAGAGTAACATCGATGTGAAAGGGACACATCGAGTGGCCACCACCCGCACGACTGAACCAGGGCCGGGACAGACTGCAGCCAAGGTACATGCCCTTAGCGGGAACCGAACCAGGGACTCTGTGGACCGCAGGCTGACGCTCTAACCGCTGAGCCAAACCAGCCAGGGCATAAACCAAATAATTTTTAATATAAATATATGCTTTTGTTGCTGGCAAAATGGATGATTAGCACAATTTTAAAACATAAAGAGGCCATCACGAGTGCTAATGTTGTGAAAGAAACAATGATCACAGGTAACTGAAGAGGTAGAAAACCGTTGTTGATTTGGATTAATGAAAAGCAGTTTAGTCAGTGACAATATTTCAGAAGTAATGACATGAAAAAACAAAGATGCCTCATGCATACCTCCTGAAAGACACCCCTGGAATGAGTGCTGAAAGAAATTCCTTTAAGAATAGCGGGGGTGAGGGGGGGTGTTGATAAATTTAAGAAAAAAAAGTGTTTGTTTATAAACAGTACATTAGCCCAGCTGTTATGGCTCACTGGTTGAGTGTCAACCCATGCACCAAGAGGTCACTGGTTCAATTCCCAGTCAGAGCACATGCCCAGGTTGTGGGCCCAATCCCCAGTGGGGGACATGCAGGAGGCAGCCAACTGATGTTCTCTCTCATCGATGTTTCTGTCTCCCTCTCCCTCTCCCTCCCTCTCTCTCTAAAATAAATAAAGAAAAAATATGTATAAACAGTACATTAGATATGTACTGTATATAAAAAAGATTCAAATGGAATCATTTGGTGGTCTGGAATGAATGAATTAAATTTACATTATTTCTAATGGGAAAAAATGATTTGGTTTATGAACAAATTGCTTCTTGAACAGCCTTCCAGAATGAATTAAATTCGAGAACCGAGGTTCCTCTATACACTAGAAGGAATCCACAGCAGGTTAGATGAAGCAGTGGATTGAACCAGTGATTTAGAGGACAAGATAACAGAAAGCACCAAAGCAAAGAATCAAAAAGAAAAAATAATTTTTAAAAATGAAGAAAGTCTAAGGGACCTCTGGGATAAAATCAAGCATAACATTATCCACATCACAGGGGTACCAGAAGGAGAAGAGTGAGAAAGGGATACAGAACCTGTTTGAAGAGATAATGGCTGAAAACTTCCCTAACCTGGTGAAGGAAAAAGTCACACAAGTTCAGGAAGCACAGTGAGTCTCAATCAAGATGAACCCAGAGAGACCCACACCAAGACACATCATAATTAAAATTCCCTGTTCTCCTGAAGACAAAGAGATAACCTTAAAGGCAGTTAGTTACCTATAAGGGAGTTCCCATAAGGCTGTCAGCTCATTTCTCAACAAAAACACTTCAGGCCAGAAGAGATTGGTATGAACTATTCAAACTGAGGAAAAGCAAGGACTCGAATCCAAGGCTACTCTATCCAGCAAGGCTATCATTTAAATTGAAGGTGAAATAAAGAGCTTCCCATACAAAAAAAGGTGAAAGGAGTTCATTACTACCAAACCAGCATTATAGGAAATGTTAAAGGGTCTATTTTAAGAACAAGAAATAGAAGCCCAGCTGGTGTGGCTCAGGTGGTTGACTGTTGTCCCATGTATTAAAAGGTCACTGGTTTGTGTCCTGGTCAAGGCACATGCCCAGGTTGCAGGCTTGATCACTGATGGATGTTTCTCTCTCATCTATGTTTCTATCTCTGACTCCCTCTCCCTTCCTTTCTCTCTAAAAAAAAAAAAAAAAATTGCCCTGGCTGGTTTGGCTCAGCGGTTAGAGCATCAGCCTGTGGTCCAGAGAGACCCGGGTTCAGTTCCCGCTAAGGGCACGTACCTCGGTTACAGTTTGTCCCCAACCCTGGTTGGGTCGAGTGGGTGGCAGCCACTTGATGTGTCCCTTTCACGTCAATGTTTCTCTCTTTCTCTCTCTTCCTCTCTCCCCCTCCCACTCTGTCTGAACAAAAAAAATGGAAATATGTCCTCGGGTGAGGATAAAAAAAAAAAAAAAAATCAATAAAAACATAACCTGCAAACCAAAGGGTCTTGGGTTCGATTCTCAGTCAAGGGCACATACCTTGAGTTGCAGGTTCAATCCCCAGCCTTGGTCGGGGTCATGCAGAGGCAACCAATAAATGTGTCTCTCTCACATTATTGTTTCTTTCTCTCCCTCCCTTCCACTCTACCTGAAAATAATTGGGAAAATATCCTCAGGTAAGGATTAACAAACAAACAAAAAATAATAAAATGGCAATAAATAAGTACCTATCAATAATAACCTTAATTGTAAACTGATTAAATGTGCCAATCAAAAGACACAGGGTACCTGAATGAATAAGAAAACATGACATGTATATATGCTGTCCACAAGAGACCGACCTCAGAACAAAAGATACACACAGACTGAAAAGCAGTTAAACTGAAAATGAAAGGATGGAAAAAAATATTCCATGCAAATGGAAAAAAAAAAAAAGCTGGGGTAGCAATACTTATATCTGACAAAATAGACTTCAAAACAAAGGCTATAACAGAGACAAGAGACCAAGAAAGTCACTACATAATACTAAAGGGATTGATGCAAGCAAAGGATATAACTCTTTTAAACATACTAATACCCAACATAAGAGCACCTAAATATATAAAGAAAACCTTGGTGGACATTAAGGGAGAAACTGACAGTAATATGATTATAGCAGAGGATTTTAATACCCCACTGCCATCAATGGATAGATCTTCCAGACAAAAAAATCACCAAGGCAAGGCAACAGCAACCCTAAATGACACACTAAAAAATATTTTTTCTTTATTGATTTTAGAGAGAGAAAAAGGGAGAAGGGGAGAGAGAGAGAAACATCGATGAAATAGAACATCAACAGGCCACCTCCTACAAGCCCCACACTTGGGATCGGGCCCACAACCTGAGCATGTGCCCTGACCGGAAATCGAACTGGTGACCTCTTGGTGCATGGGTGAATGCTCAACCACTGAGTCACACCAGCTGGGCCACTTTTGCCACTCTTATTCAACACAGTACTAGAAGTCCTAGCCATAGCAATCAGACAAAACGAAGAAAAAAAAAAAGGGCATCTAAATTGAAAAGGAAGAAGTAAAACTGTCATTATTCTCAGATGGCAAGATATTGTACATAAAAAACCCTAAAGACTCACCAAAAACTACTAAATCTAATGAATTTGGGAAAGTAGCAGGATACAAAATATTCAGAAATCAGTGACTTTTTTTTTTAATCCTCACCTGAGGATATTTTTACATTTATCTTCAGACAGAGTGGGAGAAAGAGAGAGAAAAACATCGATGTGAGAGAAACACATCAATCGGTTGCCACCCCCACGACCCCAACCAGGGCCAGGGATGAACCACAACTGAGGTATGTGCCCTTGGTTGGAATCAAATCCGGGACTCTTTGGTCCACAGGCCAACGCTCTAACCACTAAGCAAAACCGGTCAGGGCTCAGTGACATTTTTAAACACCAATAACAGACCATCAGAAAGAGAAATTGAGAAAGCAATCCCATTTACCATTACAACAACAAAAATAAGGTATCTAGAAAGGAATTTAACCAAGGAGGTAAAAGACCTGCACTCAGAAAATTATAGGACAGTGAAGAAACTGAGGAAGATACAAATAAGTGGAAGCATATATACTGTGTTTCATGGATTGGAAGAACTAACATTATTAAAATGTTCATACTACCCAAAGCAATCTATAGATTCAACACAATTCCTATTAAATAGCATATTTCAGATCTAGAATAAGTATTCCAAAAAATTAAATAGAATCAAAAAAGGCCCCAAATAGCCTCAGCAATACTGAGAAAGAACAAAGATGGAGCTATCACAATACCTGATATCAAACTATATACTACAAGGCCATTGTAATCAAAACAGCCTGGTACTGGCACGAGAACAGGCATATAGATCAATGGAACAGAACAGAGAGCCCAGAAATAAACCAACGTCTGTATGGTCAATTAATATTTGACAGAGGAGGCAAGAGCATATAATGGAGTAAAGATAATCTCTTCAATAAATGGTGTTGGGAAAATTGGACAGGTACATGCAAAAAAATGAAACTAGACCACCAACTTACACCATACATAAGAATAAACTCAAAATGGATAAAAGACTTAAACATGAGCCATGAAACCACAAAAATCCTAGAAGAAAACATAGGCAGTAAAATCTCAGATATTCTTTGTACCAATACTTTTTCCGATATGTGTCCCAGGGCAAAGGAAACAAAGAAAAAATAAATAAATGAGACTATATCAAACTAAAAAGCTTTTGCACAGCAAAAGAAACATCAACAAAATGAAAATGGAAACCACTCTATGGGAGAACATATTTGCCAATGATATATCTGACAAGGGGTTAATTTCCAAAATATAAAAAGAACGTATACAATTCAACATCAGGAGGACAAACAATCCAGTTCAAAAAATAGGCAAAAGACCTGCCTGAATAGACACTTCTCCAAAGAGAACATACAGATGGCCAACAGACATATGAAAAAATGCTCAAGGTCACTGATCATCAGAGAGATGCAAATTAAAACCAAAATTAGATATCATCTCACTTCTGCCAGAATGGCTATCATCAATAAATCAACAAACAAGTGCTGGCAAGGATGTGGAGAAAACGGAACGTTTGTGCCCTGTTTGTGGGAATGCAAACTGCTGCAGCTGCTGTAGAAAACAGTATGGAGTTCCCTCAAAACATTAAAAATGGAACTGCCTTTTGACCCAGTGATCCTCCTTCTGGGAATATATCCTAAGAATTCCAAAAAAGTAGTTCAAAAGAATATATGTACCTCTGTGTTCAATGTAGTGTTATTTACATTAGCTAAGATCTGGAAGTAGCCCAAGTGCCCATCAGTAGATGAGTGAATAAAAAAGCTGTGGTATATATACACAATGGAATACTACTCGGCCATAAAAAAGAAGCTTTTGCAACAGCATGGATAGACCTAGAGATTATTATGCTAAGTGAAATGAACTAATCAGAGAAAGACAAAGACCATGTGATCTCACTTATATGTGGCACCTAATGAACAAAATAAACTGACACACAAAACAGAAACAAAGGCATGAATACATGGACCAGACTGACAACTGTCAGAGGGCTACGGGGGAAGGGGACTAGATAAAAGAAGGTGAGGGATTAACCAAAAAACATATACACAAATACATAGACACAGACCACAGTGTGGTGACAGCCAGAGGGAAAGGGGGTAGGGGCTAGGTGGAAGTGGGCAAAGTGGGGGGAAATGGGGATGGAAAGAGACTTTGCTTGGGGCAATGGGTGCATGATGCAGTGAGCAGATGATGTTTTACTGAGTTGTACACTTGAAACCTGTATGCTTTTTCAAACCAATGTCATCCCAATAAATTTAATTGAAAATAAAATTTCTAGAATCTATAAAGACATACCTTTTCTGGGTAAATATGTTTACTTTTGCTATATTACTTAGGTTGATCTTGAAAACCTCATGTAACTCTTATCCACAGGTGCCACTAAGGATTTACAACTATCTGCAACTGTAATGCACTACTTGCTCCAGCATCAGGTAACTTAAAATGCTACATATGTCGATGAGTAAATTCTAAATGATACAGTAATTTCATGTCTGATTAAAGTCAAGAATTAGGCATTTGGAAATTGGAAAGGGCTTACAATGAGATGAGACAGGAGATACAAATTTATCTACAATCACTATCAACCCTAAAACAGCTTTTATTAAACACAGGTGCCTATAGGAAAGCCCATCTGACCACAGGTTCAGAGGGACTCAGGTTGTGGCTACCGATCATCTTATAAGAAGAAAATTAAAAATATTTACCAAAAGTTTTTCCACAAGGTCTCTTGCCTTAGGAAAAAATTTTTCAGGAAAGTCATACTCCAACTTAATGATCTTCTGAAATATAAGATATTCATTTCTGTAAAATAAGAGAAACCATCATTCCGGGTAGGGTCACACAAATCTACAACAAAGCTGTACCTTTCCTCGGACAGTGTCTCCTTCTCTCCCTACAGAGACACTGTATGCATTAAAGAATCATTGTAAAAGTCATCCAACCTTGGCTCAGCTGCCCCATCCCCACTTCTCTGGCTGCTTAAGAATGGGCAGAGGTATGGGGGTGGGAAGGTAGGTAGGTGAGGGGTGGAGGGTAGGAGGTGGGAGTATCTCTTACCCAGCTCGGAATGGTGGGAGTCCTGCCACAAGTTGATATATTATACATCCAAGAGCCCAAAGGTCTGAACTTTAAGGGAGGGAAAAAACAAAGAATGACATTTGTAAAATTTCAGTGACATGAAGAGTTCCTTTCCATTCCCTTTGTTCACACCACCCCATTTCAGCCTCCAATCTACTGTTCTACTTTAAAACCAGGTCAGTGCACCTGGCTGGTGTGGTTCAGTGGTTGAGCATCGACCCATGCACCAAGAGTCTCTGGTTCAATTCCCAGTCAGGGCCCATGCCCAGGTGTGGGCCAAATCCCCAGTGGGGGGCATGTAGGAGGCGGCCAATCGATGTTCTCTCTCATCAATGTTTCTCTCTCTCTCTCCCTCTCCCTCTAAAATCAATAAAAGGAAAAAAAAAATTTTTAAATAAAATAAAACCAGGTCAGTGTGAGAATGGAAACTTGCTCCAGGCCCTTCTCAAAGGGGCCTCTCTGGGAACCTGGGCCCAGAAGATCCTACACACTCCTTCCAGTGCCAAGGGGGGTCCTGGGGGTGCTGTGGGTGCTGCTGAGAGAGAGTCTCTCATAACAGTGTTTACCCTCAGGACACAGAGGCAAGCTCACATATAGCAAGGAACCAAATTAAACAATCTATAGAATATGCAAAAAGCAAGCTTTCTTTTCTTTTTTTTTTAATCCTCGCCCAAGGATATTTTTTCATTTTTTGTTCAGATAGAGTGGGAGGGAGAGAGAGAGAGAGAGAAACATCGATGTGAAAGGGACACATTGAATGGTTGCCACCCGCATGACCCAACCAGGGCCAGGGACAAACTGCAACCAAGGTACGTGCCCTTAGCGGGAACCGAACCCTGGTCTCTCTGGACCGCAGGCCGATGCTCTAACTGCTGAGCAAAATCAGCCAGGGCAGCAAGCTTTCTTTTCCTTCTTGGATTCAAAGTGCAAAGCCCTGGCCCTCCTTTATAACCTTTTTTTTTTTAAATCCTCACCAGGGGATATTTTTTCCATTTATCTTCAGGCAGAGAGGGAGGGAGGGGGGGCGGGGAGAGAGAGAGATCTACATGAGAAAGACACATCCATTGATTGCCTCCCGCACGACCCTGACCAGGACCAGAATGAACCGCAACCAAGGAATGTGCCCTTGACCAGAATTGAACCCGAGACTCTTTGGTCTACAGGCTGATGCTCTAACCACTGAGCAAAACCGGCCAGGGCTCCTTTATAAACATTTAATTATAGATTTCAAAAGAAATACACTGAAGTTCTTTTTTTTATCCTCACCCGAGGATATTTTTCCATTTTTTGTACAGATAGAGTAGGAGGGAGAGAGAGGAAGAGAGAGAGAGAGAGAAACATCGATGTGAAGGAACACATCGAGTGGCTGCCACCCACACGACCAACCAGGGCCGGGGATAAACTGCAACCGAGGTACGCGCCCTTAGCGGGAACCGAACCCGGGTCTCTCTGTACCGCAGGCTGACGCTCTAACCGCTGAACCAAACCAGCCAGGGCTACACTGCTGTTCTAAGTTGTCCTAAGTCATTTCCAAAACCAGCTGGCAGCGACTCTGGGAAATGGGGGGGGGGGGGCAGTGCTCTCCTTACTTTGGATATTACCCCCTTTCCCACCTGTTCTCGTCCATTCTCTGTCCCCTCAGTGTCATCTCAGAGCTCACAGCTGACATCTACTTTGCATATTTGATTTCCTCTGTAGGTATTGCATTGTATTCCCAGCTCAGCCCTACGATATTAAGATGCTCTTTGCCCTGCACTGCCAGCTGCCTCTCCCTACACCATGGTCAGTTTCTGGAAGAGGCCACAACCTGGTATCTGGAAAATGAACTCAAAGGCCATGGGTGGAGACAACAGGTCAACTGCAGCACCAGGGCCTTGGATGAAGGCTTAGTATCACCAGCACCACAAGCCTGAGACAGATGAGGCTCTTGATGTGGGTTAGAAATATAAAAGGTCAGAAATCTGAGTCACAACACACAGATGGAGTGAAGGGCATTTTAAAAATGAATCTACATTCTACTCAGTAACTAGTTTTTACACTTGATTTTCCCTACTGTTTAGTTACAATAGGAAGCTACATAAGAAAAACACCCACAGTAAAGCATGGTTTTTGTGTGTGTGAACACAGCCAGAGAGGATGGGCAGTGTTGTGGAGTGGGGTTGCCTCTGCTGCTTTCACAAGGTTATCTCCAGGGAGAAGGAGCAACAACAGAACCTGCTTTGGGGGCAACTTTTTACCTCGTGAACTATTTGAACATTTTATCATCAGTGAATATCTTATAATTTTTACTTCTTTTTAAAAAATTTATTTTAGAGCCCAGTCAGTGTGGCTCAGTGGTTGGGCAATGACCCATGCACCAAGAGGTCGCCAGTTTCATTCCCAGTTAGGACACGTGCCCAAGTTGTGGGCCAAATTCCCAGTGGAGGGCATGCAGGGGGCGGCGAATGTTCTCTCTCATCGATATTTCTCTCTCTCTCCCCCTCTCTTTTCCTCTCTAAAAATCAATAAAGAAAAAAAATTTATTTGAGAGAGAGAGAGAGAAAACCACATCAATTTGTTGTTCTACTTATTTATGCATTAATTGATTGATTCTTGTATGTGCTCTGACTGGGGGTTGAACCTGCAATCCTGGCGTATCAGGGCTCTAGTATGTTTTTCATCCTCACCCGGGGACTTTTTTTTCACTTATCTTCAGATAGAGCAGGAGGGAGAGAAGGATGAAGAGAGAGAGAGAGAAACATCAATGTGAGAGAGACACATTCACTGGTTGCCACCCACACAACCCCATCCGGGGCCAGGGACAAACTGCAACCGAGGTACGTGCCCTTAGCGGGAACCGAACCCGGGAGGGACTCTCTGGTCCACGGGCCTACGCTCTAACCACTGAGCAAAACCGGCCAGGGCTAATATGTTTTTAATCTAATAAAAACTAAAGGGGAGCCACTATAATATTTCTGGAAATCAGTACATACTGGTTTTAAAAATGTTTAGGTAGGTCAAGTCACTTCTTGAAATTCAAAACAATAACTTAGGGCGCCACCTGGCAGATACCCCATCTCTCCCTCCCACTGGACAAGCAGCAGGAGTGCCCCTCTGCCCCACAGCATAGAATATGCAGCACACAGCAGGCATGCCAGATTGTGCCGAATTAACAAAGCCACTTCAATATCCAATGACAAAGGAAGAGTTTAATAAACAACAGTAAATCATATGCTAGAAAACCATACAGTTGTTAAAGATGACTGCAAATAATTTTAGTGACATCGGGGAATGTTCATTATATAACTGCAATAATTATATAATGAACAATTATATATTTAATAATTAGATAATAACCACTACATATTTAATAGTTATTTAATAACTATTCAAAGCTGGTTATTCAGTATGACTCCAAGTTGTATAAAAATTACATAAACATATATAAAACCTATAGAGAAAAATAACTGGTAAGATATACCAACTCATTATCTGTGACTGTAAGTGGGCTAGAGATTCTGAGTGTTTTTGTGTTTTTATTCTCCATATTTTCTAAGAATTCTTTTCAATGAATATGTATCACTTTTAAAATCATAAAAAAATCTAAACTATTTTTGAATATAATGTTAAAAAATTAAAAAGCATAAAAGGATATACATTGATATCTCCCTCACAACCTTGTTCCCTCACCATCACAACCAGTGTTATCCACTCCTTGTATATCCTTCTAGAATTGTAAATGCATGAAAAAACGGATCTGGGCAGACATTCTCCCTCCCGTTTTCACACAGGAGGTGGTCATTCTGGATCTTCCTTATCGCATTCAATAGAGCCTGGAGACCTTCCCTGATCAGTGCTAATGAGATGCACCACTTGGTACTGTGTAGACATCCGAGGCCAATCATTCTCGCTGTGGGTACATCTCTGCACTGCGGGATGCTGAGCAGCACCCATGGCCTCCATCCACTGGATGCCAATAGCACTCCTTCCCAACTCTCCCCAAGTTGTAACACCAAAACTGTGAGCACACATAGCCAAAAGGCCCCAGGGAGAACTGACCCACCTAGGAAGCCCTGACCTACAATAGCATCTGGCCCTCAGTAAGAGCTCAAAAACAAAGAGCCTGGAAGACCCAAGTTTAATCTTTCAGAGCATCCTCTATCCTTCATCATGTGCTGTCCCATGGCTCTACCCCTTAAAGAGTTTGTTTGTTTGTTTGTTTATTTTTAAGATAGCCCTGGCCAGTTTGGCTCCACGGTTAGAGCATTGGCCTGTGGTCCAGAGAGACCCGGATTCGGTTCCCGCTAAGGGCGTGTACCTCGGTTGCAGTTTGTCCCTGGCCCTGGTTGGTCGTGCGGGTGGCAGCCACTCGATGTGTCCCTTTCACTTCGATGTTTCTCTCTCTCTCTCTCTCCCACTCTGAACAAAAAATGGAAAAATGTCCTCGGGTGAGGATAAAAAAAAAAAAAAAAAAAGAGTAGGAGGGAGGGAGGGAGAGAGAAACGTCAATGAGATAGAGACACATCGGTTAGTTTCCTCCCACACAACCCCGATCAGGGCTGGGGATCGAACCTGCAACCCTTCAGTCTATAGGCTGATGATTTAATCACTGAGCCAACTGGCCAGGGCTTAAAGAGTTTTTTAAAAGTTGTCATGCTCAGCCCTGGCTGGTTTGACTCAGCAGTTAGAGTGCTGGCCCGTGGATCAATGAGTCGCAGGTTCAATCCCAGTCAAGGGCACGTACCTCGGTTGCAGTTCATCCCAGCCCTGATAGGAGTCATGCAAGAGGCAACCAGCTGATGTGTCTCTCTTGCATCAATGTTTTCCTCCCTCCCTCTCTCCCTCCCTCCCACTCTATCTGAACTAAAATGAAAAAAATATCCTCGGGTGAGGATTTAAAAAAAAAAAAAAAAAGCTGTCATGCTCAGAACACAGAGTTGCTGTCTTTAGAACTACTCTTTCCTCTGCAGGCTCTGGCACTGTCACTCTGTCATTCTAGGAAGGCTGCCCCTTGCAGCCTACCAATCCAGGTCACTGACCCTATGACCCTCTGTCAACTCAAGGGAAATGTGCCAGCAGACAACATGTCTGGCTGGCCCCGGGCAGGAAGAATCCAAGGAAAAGCTTTAACCACAAAATATGTTGCCACCTGGAACCGCTCCCCAAACTCTGAAACCCCAGATTCTATTGCCACCTCTCAGTCTTCCACCTGTCTCATGACTACCTGACAGCTCCCCAGACTTCTCCCCACTCTTGGCCATCAATGCTCCCACCTTCTTTTCCTTCACTGCCCAGCTGCCCTGATGCTGACCCTTCTCCACTCTTCAGAATTCTGCTCTTGTGAGCAGAACCCCCGCCTCAGGGTTCTCTAGCCCTTAATTTACTCTGCACCCACCAAGGCTTTCAATCCTGCAGCCACTGCCAGATCTGTCCCAGGTCTGAGCACCAAGCAGGGTTGGCTCGTGCTGGCTGGGCCCCTGCCAGGAAACTGGCTCCATCTCCTCCCACACATGCTACCCTCTGGGCCTCTTCCCACAATCTTCAGAGTCCATAATGCTAAACAGCTGACCTGCAGCTGCCAGCAATGCCAGTATGCCAGAGCTGGAGGCAGCACCAAGGATCCTTGGCTTCAAAAGATGCAAGAAGCCTCATTAAATAATACAAACCTGCCTACCACACTTCTCACTGAATAGTTGTTCTAAGGTAGCAGTTCTCACCCTGTGGGTCGCGACCCCTTTGAGGGTCGAATAACCCTTTCACAGGGGTCGCCTAAGACCACTGGAAAACATATGTTTCCAATGGTGATTCATAACAGCACCAAAATTACAGCTATGAAGTGGTGACAAAAATAATTTTATGGTTGGGGGTCACCACAACATGAGGAACTGTATTAAAGGGTCACAGCATTAGAAAGGTTGAGAACAATTGTTCTAAGGGAACAAGATCCAATCTCAAAGTATAAAGCAACAACCACCCAGACAGTATGAAGTGTAACAATAAAGTAGCATATTGGTTATCAAAGGAAAGGTACTGGTTAAAAGGCAAAAATGCAACTTCTTCCAAAGTAGGCTTAGCTATATAAAGGCCATGAAAGGCACTCTCTTGATTATTAATTTCACATGAAAAACTGTATTAGCTACCTTAGAGAAAAGAGAATTATGAATCAGAAATAAAAATGGATTAAAAAAAAAAACAAGAAAAAATCAGGTTACCTTTTACAGGCCGACTTCTCAGTGAGCAGCTCTGGAGAAACATACTGGGCTGTTCCTACAAATGAGTTGGCCCTGGCTGATGAGAAGAGGAAAATGGTCATGCTGAGATACAAAGCACTTACAATTGTGGGTGTTCATCTATCAGGACGTCATGGTTGACATGGGCATAAACTGGAGCTTTTTGCCAGCACAGCACTGGTCACTTGGAATCAGACTGTACAATCCTGAGAGCCTTACTTGTCCAGGGCCCACCCCCCACACCCCATTCTCCTCTCAGGGCTGGCTCAAAGGTCACCTGCTCAGTGATAATTGCCTTGACCACCAGGACAGCTCTTCTTGACCCCCTCCCTACTTCATGTTCTCTTGGTGCCTTCTCACTGACACTAGTGTAGCACTCACCCAGCATTCTGTCAGCTGGAGTGTCTTGAGGAGCCTGTGGTGCCTAAAACAGCCTGGGACATGTAGCAGGCACACAATGAACATGTACACAATGCAGGAAAGGACTGGATCTCCTGCAGGCTGCATGCAACAAACTGCTCAGGGAGGTCAGGGGCTATAAAGGGAATGAGACTCATGCATCTTGGCTAGGGACCCTCCACAATATCCTGCTGCCTCTAGCACTGGACTGTGTGACACAAAGTTCAACTGCAGACCTGGGTTGGGTGACAGTGGGACCCTCTGGACCCACCCATCACCAGAGAGAGGAGGCACTGACACCCATTTTACCCCAGTGACCCTCAAGGACACCTTGGGGACCTCATCAATAACCAAACATCCCTGACAAAGAACCATGGGTATAATCTGCCTGCCCCACCACATTGCTCCTGAGGCATCCTCCATGGGATCTACTCTGGCACTGGGGACCACACAGCTGCTCTTGGCCTTTCCCCCATGACCCTCAGAGGATGAAGGATCAGGAATTCCATCGTCAGAACCACCTACCACCTGAGATCAAATAGATTCTCTAAGGAGAGTGGCCGCACATTTCACTCACAGCAACCTGTCTCCCATGACCCTCCAGGCTGGCACTGTGTAACTAGCATATAGACGTTTGCTGCCTACCTTCATGATGGAAGCAAATGTTTGATTTCACTGAAGGGTTAATGAAAATCAATAATTTCCTGCTCTCCAGTCTCAGGGCTGGCTGGCTTCTATCTGTGACACCAGGGTAAAAGCCCCAGAGAGAGCATTAGAAAACCATAGAGGTAATCTAGCCACCTCCCCCTGGAAGCTCAGAGACAAGCCAAAGGTCAAACTTCTCCAGCTATTGGAAAACCACGCCCAGAACCCACCACTGGTCAACACAGCCTCCTCTATGCCACTGAACCCCTACCTGCAGGACACATGGTCAGGGGAAAGGAAAAGGGTACTGGGCTGGGTTGTTGTCTCCAGCCTCAAAGTGGTTCAAAGAAAGCGATCAGCATACTGGGCTATGGACCACACTGGCCACCACAGATCTATAAGTCAGACTCTGAGGTGCCAGTGGGAAAGGTGGGACCTGAAGAAGTGTTCCTGAGGTTAGGAGCCACCCAAACTCTCTTCAAGCCAAAAGCACAGACTGCTAATGTTTTACCCACAAACCCACACATGAAACACAGCAAACATTCACAAAATACGGTCACCTCTTGGACAGAAGACAAGAAAATGGAATACTGAAACACATAAAAAGGAGTCTAGCCCTAGCCAGTGTGGCTCAGTTGGTTGGGCATCATTCCATGCACTGAAAGGTTGCCAGTTCAATTCTAGGTCAGGGTACATGCCCAGGTTGTGGACTTGATCCCCAGTAGGGGACATGCAGGAGGTAGACAATCAATACCCCCCCCCTTCCCCTCTCTCTAAACACAATAAAAATATTTTTTTTAAAATAAAGAGTCTGCAAGTGAGATTTATCCCAGAAATGCAAGGGTGATTCAACATACAGGAATCAATCAATGTCAAATACACTATATCATTAGAATAAAGGACAAAAATCATATCATCACCTCAACAGACGCAGAAAAAGCATCTAACAAAAATTCAACGTTCCTTTTTTTTTTTAATTTTCACCCGAGGACATTTTTCCATTTTTTGTTCAGATAGAGCGGGAGGAAGAGAGAAAGAGAGAAACATCAATGTGAAAGGGACACATTGAGTGGCTGCCACCCGCACAAGCTAACCAGGGCCGGGGATAAACTGCAACCAAGGTATGTGCCCTTAGCAGGAACCAAACCCTGGTCTCTCCAGACTGCAGGCTGACACTCTAACCACTGAGCCAAACCAGCCAGGGCTCAACGTTCTTTCATAATAAAAATACATAAAACAGAACAGAAGGGAACCTCCTCAATCTGATAATGGCATCTATGAAAAAGCCAAAACTATGGCTGGTGTGGCTCAGTTGGTTGAGAATTGTCCCAAGCATGAGAAGGAAGCCAATTCGATTTCCAGTTAGGGCATGGCTTGATACTCAGTAGGGGGTATGCAGGAGGCAGATAATCAATGTTTCTCTCTCATTGATGTTTCTCTCTCTCTCTCCCTTCCTCTCTCTGAAATCAATAAAAATATATATTTTTAAAATGTTTAGAAAAAGAAAAAGCCAAAGCCAACCTTTACTCAATAATGAAAGATTGAAAGCTCTTCCCCTAAGGTAAGGAACAAGACAAGGATGCTACTCTTGCCATGTCTATTCAACATTGTAGTGGAGGGTCTACCATGACAATTAGGCAAGAAAATGAAATAAAAGGAATCCACATTAGAAATCGAGGTACATGCCCTGTAATCACAGATGACATGATCTTGTATATAAACATCATCTGTATTTCTTTTCTTTTTTTTTTTTAAATCCTCACCTGAGGACATGCTTAGAGAGAGAAAGAGAAACATTGATGTGATAGAGAAACATCAATCGGTTGCCTTCCATACATGCCCCAACTGGGGATCAAACACGCAACCCAGGTTTGTGCCCTGACAGGAGATTGAATCGGCACAGGGTAACAACACTCAATCAACTGAGCCACTTTGGCTGGGCTCAACTGTATTTCTATACACTTGCAATGAACAATCTGAAAATAAAAGTAAGAAAATTCCATTTATAATAGCCTCCAAAATACTTAGAAATAAATTTCATAAAAGTGCAAAGCTTATACACTGAAAACTACACAAGATTTTAAAAATAAATTACAAAAGATCTAAATAAATACAGACATCCATGTTGAAGGATCAGAACTTAATATCGTTAAGATGGCAATAGAGACAGTCCCTGATTTACAATGGTTTGAGTTACAGTGGTTTGGTTTATGATATTTTACTTCACAATGGCACAACACTGTACTTTGAATTTTGGTCTTTTCCCAGACAAGTCATATGTGGGACACTGGGCAGTGAGCCACAGCTCTCAGTCAGGCACACAATCACAAAGGTAAACAATCGATCCTCTACAGTGTACTGTGTTGCCAACATTTTTGGATATTATATTCTGAGCACATTTAAGGTATGCTAGGCTAAGCTATGATGTTCACTAGGTTAGGTGTATTAAAGGTATTTCTGACTTCCGATATTTTCAACTTACAATGGGTTTATCAGGACATAACGACATCACAACTTGAGGGGCATCTGCACTCCCAAACTGATCTTTACATTCAACACAATCACAACCCAAATCCCAGCTGGCTTTCACTGAGCACAGTGTTTTCAAGGTTCATCCACATTGTAGCATTCATCAGAACTTTATTCCTTTTCATGGCTGAATAATATTCCATTGTATGAATAGACCACATTATATCCTTCATCAGTTAATGGACACTTGAGTTGTTTCCACTTTTTGACTATTAGGAATAAAGCTGCTATGAACATTCCTACACAACTTTTTATGTGAACATGTTTTCAATTCTCTTGGATATACACCTAGGTGTAGAATTGCTGAGTTATAAGGTAACTATGTTTAAACTTTGAGGAACTGCCAGACTGTTTCCCAAAGTGATTGCACCACCTGACATTTCCACCTGCAGAGTATGAGGATTTCATTTCTCCACATTCTTGCTACTACTTACCTTTTTTAAAAAATTGTTTTTTTTGCCCTGGCCGGTTTGGCTCAGCGGTTAAAGCGTCGACCTGCGGTCCTGAGAGACCCGGGTTCGGTTCCCGCTAAGGGCGTGTACCTCGGTTGCAGTTTATCCCCGGCTCTGGTCAGTCGTGCGGGTGGCAGCCACTCGATGTGTTCCTTTCACATCGATGTTTCTCTCTCTCTCTCTCTCTGTTCCTCTCTTTCCCTCCCACTCTACCTGAACAAAAAATGGAAAAATGCCCTCGGGTGAGGATAAAAAATAAATAAATAAATAAATAAATAAAAATGGTTTTTTTCTTTATTGATTTTAAAGAGAAAGGAAGGAAGAGGGAGAGAGGTAGAAACATCAATAAGAGAACACCGAGAAGCCACCTCCTGCATGCCCCTCACTGGGGATCAGGCCCACAACCTGGGCATGTGCCCTGACCGGGAATCGAACCGGCGACCTCTTGGTGTGTGGATCAATGCTCAAACACTGAGCCACACCGGCCAGGCTATTTATCTTTTATCCTAGCCATCCTAGTGGGTATGAAGTGGTATCTCATAGAGGTTTTGATTTGCATTTCCCTCATGACATTGAATACCTTTCCATGTGTTTATTGGAAATTTGTTTATCTTCTTTGGAGAAATGTCTATTTAGACCCTTTGTACATTTTGTAAATTTTTTTTTTCAAATATGAGTTCTTAATGTATTCTGGATACAAGTCCCTTATCAGATATCTGATTTAAAAATACTTTTATTTCCTATTCAGTGGGTTCATTTTACTTTCTTAATAGTATCACGGCACAAAAGTTTTTAAACTTGATGTGGTCTAATTTATCTTTTTTTTTTTTTTTCTGTTGTTTATGCCTTTGGTATTGTATCTAAGAAACCATTTCCTAACCCAAAGTCATGAAGATTTACTCCTATGCTTACTCCCAAGAGTGTTAATAGTTTTATTTTTTTTTTTTTTGTACAGACAGAGTGGGAGGGAGAGAGAGGAAGAGAGAGAGAGAGGGAAACATCGATGTGAAAGGGACACATCGAGTGGCTGCCACCCGCACGACCAACCAGGGCCGGGGACAAACTGCAACCGAGGCACATGCCCTTAGCGGGAACCGAACCCGGGTCTCTCCGGACCGCAGGTGGACGCTCTAACCGCTGAGCCAAACCGGCCAGGGCCCAAGAGTGTTAATAGTTTTAGATCCTACATTCAGACCTCCAATCTATCCAAGTTAACCTCTGAGTTAACTTTTGTGTATGATGTGGGTGAGGCAGGGGTAATAATGTTTTTTATTTTTATTTTTGTTAATCCTCACCCGAGGATATTTTTTCCACTGATTTTTAGAGAGAGTGCAAGGAAGGGAGGTGTAGTGGAGAGAGAGAGAGAAACATTGATATAAGAGACACACATCAATTGGTTGCTTCCTGCATGTGCCTCAACCAGGGTTAGGATTGAACCTGCAACCCAGGAATTATTCCTGGTCAGGAGTAATAACGTTTTTTATTACTTGGTCAACATTGGAGGATGATAGTGAACAACTTGAGGGGCATCTGCACTCCCAAACTGATGTGATCTAATTTAAAACTCATGGTTTTCAAAAGTAGCAAATAAAGGGGAAAGAACAAGCATTTATCCTGTTTTTCCTCCAAAATCAATACTACTAGTTAAGCAAATAGTTGCTATGGGGAAGTTTCTCTTTAAAGAAGAATTCCATCTCATGAATGAAAGAATTAGACTATAATCATTCTGTATTCTCTACTGAATTAATGGATCTAAGCCACGATAGTTTCAAAGGACTGTTGACATCACAGAGGGAGAAATGAATGAATGTCAAATGCTTCTTAATAAAGAGGGCACCACCACCAGACTTTAGTGTGAGGACTGAATCTGAATTTGATCAAAGTGGCCAGCTCCAGCAGCCAATTTACAGGATGTACTGAGAGGAGGAGCATGTTACATGACTCCACAGAGATGCAATCAGGAAACTTTGTAACACCAACGACCTAGTTTCTTCAACAAACTGCAAGGGAAAAGAATGGGGGGTGCACGCCACAGATGAAAAGAAATATAAGAGCCCGGCCAGTGTGGCTCAGTGGTCGACCATTGACCCATGAACCAAGAGGTCGCTAGTTCAATTCCTGGTCAGGGCGCGTGCCCAGGTTGCGGGCCAAATCCCCAGTGGGGGGCATACAGGAGGTAGCCAATTGATGTTCTCTCTCATCAACGTTTCTATCTCTCTCTCCCTCTCCCTTCCTCTCTCTAAAACCAATAAAGGAAAAAAAAATTTAAGAGACAAATTAGCTAAGCTCAAATGTAGGAACTTTCGCCATCCACAGAGGGGCCATATGGAGAGGGTGCAGCTGGAGTGATAGAATGATTTTGGCTCTGAAGCCTTCCTCCTCCATCCCCTGGCTTCAACTGGCCCCCACCCCACACCAGCAGACCCACCCCTCCTGTTTGGTGAGTGAAGCCTCCACACCTGGCTGTATACCAGAAACACCTACAGTTCAGGACACATGTTTTGAGACACAAACCCCAAGTCTCAACTTCCAGGGCCCCCAAGCAAACAGGGCAAAGGCCAGGGACACAGCCACAGACAAGGGGTTTACTCCACATGATTAAGCTGTCCTCAACAGAAACGTCTGTGGGACCCATGTGAAGGTCAGAAATTATAAGTCCTTTGTGCTGGAAGTTGCTCATCAATCCCACATGAACTCAATAGCCCCTGCTGTCTCCCACCCCTGCCACTCCGACCCAACAGGCGGCAGTGAGAGAGAGATGCACGACTCATCCTTTCTAGGAGCAGTCCACTGGGACAAAGGTCTGTGAACAGAGACAACCTGCCTCTTGCTAGGAGGAAGGTGAACATGCTTACTGCACAGCTAAAAAATCTGAGTTTCCTGTCCAGCCGGTGTGGCTCAGTGGGTGAGCATCAACCCATGCACCAAGAGGTTACCAATTCGATTCCCAGTCAGGACACATGTCCAGGTTCTGGGCCAAATTCCCAGAGAGTGGCATGCAGGAGGCGACCAACTGATGTTTTCTCTCACTGATATTTTTCTCTCTCTCTCCCTCTCTAAAAAAATCAATAAAGGAGAAAAAGAATCTGAGTTTCCACCAACACTTTCCTTCTGGAAGCTTTAAGGTGTTTTTTGGGAAATCATCTCTGCACAAAAGTTTTTTTTTTTTCTTAAAGCTAATGCAGAAATAAATTCTAAAGTACTTCAAACAGAAAATGAGAGTGAAGTCACTAAAATGAAACAATCACAAAATTATATATGTTTCTTCCTTTTCCTCTAGGAATGAAAAAAAAAAAAAGATCCAACTCATCTATAGATACAAGCAATTCTCCCTCGTTTACAATTAAGGACTTCTAGCCTCCTGCTTCCATAAAAAAAGAAAAGCAAGCTTATTTTACTATTTCACCAATGCATTTAAATTCTTATAATTTTTCAATTATAAGGGCAACAGGACTAGCTTGTGCCAAACAGCAGATTCTGAAGGAAATCTACATGAAGGGAGAAAGCACAATGCAGACCCTGAGATGGGTGGTTCCCAAGGCTGACTGGGGAGATGGCAGAAATCACAACCAGGTGATAAGCAGCCTAACAAGAACATTTAGGGATATAGCAATTCCTATTGGGTTCACTTCTGTCGTGGACAATGCTATGGTTATGGGTTATACCATGTCCATAAAAACATGATTACTGGCCAATAAAATGTTACTATGCAATAGGCATGGCTCAAATAGATCAAGGTTTTGGGGCATCTCACAAGTGCCAGCAGGATTTCCTTGGCTTTGAGCATCTCCTGGTGGGAGGCCACCCATCCTCTGACGCCCTCTGTGGGAAGGAGGTAAAGGGAGCTACAAAAGACAGGCGAGTGAGGCCAGGACTAAGACTTGCTGAAATAAAACATGTTTTATTTCAGCCTCAGAAGTGTGGTGCTTTAGGATTCTCAGAGAAGTTCCCAAATCCAAGATGCAGAGATTAAAGCATTAACTGAATCTTAACAGAAGCTGTTTGAAAACATGGGGCTGGAAAAAAACCTGGAAAGGAAAGATAAGGTACTTTGCAGAAGGAAACCCATGGATGCCCAACCAGGCTCACCAGGTACTTCCCAGCAGCACAGGTTTGTGTGTCTGCCCACACTTGGCTGGGATGAGTAAACTGCGGGCGTCAGCCCAGTGGCTGCCTAACATGCTGTTAATCCAGCCGCAATTCAAGCCCAAAACAGAGGAGGCCAGCCCAGGTGAGCTAGAGGGCTTTCTGAAAAGCCAAGTTCCTCCCCACCGCTATGCAGTGCTCATAGTTTTCCTTTTCCACAAGAGAGCAGCTATAACAAAGTGGATGCTTTAGTATAAATCTTTCTTTCTCCAACAAACCCTATATTCAACCAAACATATCCATTAGCCCAAGTGCTTTTCACCAAGGTCCTCCTCTCAAGGCAGAGATTCGTGCACTCTGTTGAGGTCCCTGCAACAGCCTCTTAGGTCAGGGTAACTCTGATAGTCACAACTGTCCCAAGACCCAAAGTTCATTTTCATTAACTTGCACAGTGGCCCTCAGCCTCCCCCAAACCTCACCATAAGCACTTTATCTTCTTTCTACACCAACACTTGACAACCATTTTCAAAAGTAAAATTGCCATTCTTTATAATTCCTGAGTTTGATTGATTTCCATCCAACAAACACCTGAAGGGCAGCAAGGAACCCCTGTTGAGATGCCCTCTGGCTAGCTAAGACACCCAGGACACTTCTCTGGCCCAAGTTAGCAACTCCTCCTAGGGTGATAAAGCTGTCACAATACACAATCCAATGCTAGGACTCACCCTAGGGGAAAAGTGATTAGAAAAGTGTGCAATCAGAAACATGCCTTTGACCAGCAAGTAAAAATCAACCCCTGGTTCTATGAGTCTGTAGAACCTCACTATAATGGGGTGTGCCTGGGCCGTCACTGGCAACTGCACACAGGAGGCAGGGATAAAGACAGAAAGCTGGTGGGCACTGGGATAGAGAGATAGTACCCTTCCACCCCCCAGTTACAAATTGTAGTGCCAACAGGAAGAGCTGAGAGCTGACCACATTGACCCCATGCCCTTGCATGGGAGACCAGGAACAAATGTGACACCACAGCACCTTCTAAGACTAGGAAGGGTGAGCTACAGGGCACTCAAGGGTGCTCAAGAGGACCTGTGCCAACATGCAGAGAGAGCCTGGTGACCCAGCACCCCCCACTCAAGGCAGAGCAGACCAACCACAGGTGGCCTAGGAAGCCTCTCCCTCCACCCGTTAGAATAGGCTTTCCATGTGAAAGCTCAAGCATCTATTTTACAATAACAAAGATAATACCAACATCTGTCACTACATGAACACAATGTAATTCACCGCATTGCTAAGAGGTTGTTCTTGATCTAAACACTAAGCAGGATCAGATGGAAATAAAACACTCACATACCTTGTTTACTCTCTGGGGATAATACTTTTGCTGTTCCAAAATCTGTGATCTGGATGTGCATATCTTCATTTAACAAAATGTTTTCTGGTTTCAGGTCCCTGTGAAAGCAGATTTTTAATATTTGACATAAATATTTAAAACAGCAACATTATTTCATACTCTAAATTTTGCCAAAAACAAAGTGAACTGGTTAATATTTACAACCGTTACAGACTAACAACCAAGAATATAAGTCTAAAGTTCACAATGAACAAATATCAATTGCATACAATGAAGACAATCAAACTACATTACTTCATAACTGCATCTATTATTTTACTGAAGTATAATTTATCATTTTTTTATTTTAAAATAAAGTGCTTTTAAACTTATTGTTGCAATCACTCTACAATATATGTAAATCAAACCATCATGCTGTACAACTTAATTTATACAGTGATGTATGTCCATTTATAAAAAGCAATATTAAAGCCCTGGCCGGGTAGCTCAGTTGGTTAGAGCACCATCTCAATATGGTTGCAGGTGCAATCCAGGTCAGGGCGCATACAAGAAGCAACCAATGAATGCATAAATAAGTAGAGCAACAAATCTCTCTCTCCTTCTCTCCCTCTCCCTCTCCCTTCTTCTCCCTCTCCCTCCCTCCCTCTCACCCCCAAATAAAAATTTTAAAAATGCTCAATTTAAAAAAGAGCTTATTTGAATACTTTCAATTTGACTTTATCAGAAATTCATGGAAAAAAGGACCAGAAGAAGTACAGACAAAAGCCACAAGTGACAAAATAAAAGCAGCAGTCAAGATGGGTAAGAAAACCGTTAGCCTGGTAAAAAAGACAGGAGGAATTTCATCTGGTAGTTGAAAATCTGCGAGGCTCTCAATGTCAGGGTGATGTGAACTCTTCTTAGTTCTCACATCAGGCATCCCCACCCTCCATTAAATAAACCAGAGCTGCCCCCAACCTTGTGAGCAGAGCCCCAGTCCTCAGCTTGGTACCTGTGAATGATGCCCCTGCCGTGCAAGTACTCTAGAGCAGACACCATCTCAGCTGTGTAAAATCGGGTGCACGTCTCATCGAATGAACCAATTTTGCGAATGTATTTAAGTAGTTCTCCGTTTTTGGCATAACTAAGGCCAAAATCTAAATATTGCATAGTTAAGGAAGAATGTGAAAGTCATTTTAAAAAAAACTAACCTTAATAACCCAATAGCAATTTTTTAAATTAAGGAAAACTGAAGGTACCTGTGGCCCAAGACTGCTGCCCCTCTGTGAGTCAGACTCTGTCATGGTCAGACCCACGGCCGATGTGAATCCCAGACCCCAGCTTCAGGGCAAGTCTCCAAGGTAAGTTTCTCACCAAGAACACAATGACATAAGTCTCTCAGCCCGAGGGATCCTTCTGGACCCCACTGGCCCCAGGAGACACATGTGGCCCCAGTGAAGGGAGGCTGCTAGAGATGGCAATCAAATGCCTCTCTGCAGGCTTCAGCCAAGGTGTGTATGGTGGGGGCAGGGGGGGGTCCCCATCACAATCCAGTCTCCACACCTAAACAATGTGTACACATTTACTGAGCACCAGCTGCATTCCATATGCTGTGCTGAGTCAATTTACATAAAGGTTTTGCATATGAAAACTCTTTTCCATGTATAAAGTAACAAGTTTTGTAAGAGAAATGCCATTTTATTAACTTCTTGATTCAATCTATTTATTGGGCACCCATTGGGGAGAGACTCAAGAAACACAGTCATCTTTCCTTTGGACACCCACTACAGTGTGACTGTTTTATTTGTACTCTCCATTTTCAAAAGAGGACTAATGGTTGCAAAAATAAATGGATCCCAAATAACTGCTTCCTCCTACAAGCACCAAACATTTGCACCTATTAACGGAAATCTACAGGTACTTCGCTGCTCCGTGGCAGCTAGGGACAGGAAGGGGTTGGCCCGTGCTCAGGGTGTTCCATCTTGCTTCTGTTTGCCAAGGCACTAACATCTCCCACCAAGAAAGGAGCCTGAAGCTGCCGTAGAGTGAGGGCAAGCCCAGGAGGAAGGGACCGGCCACCAAGGCTGCCCAAACCTGCCCTGGATCCAGCCCTCTGTGGCCACCCAACCCCTCTAACAACTAGGATGTTTAAATGGAATCTCAGACAAAAACAAAAAACAAATCTTACTTCTAGGGAATGCAAAGGGCTTTGGCCAGGCCCCCTTCCCTCCTTGTCCTGCTCTGTCCTCTCCACAGGGAAGGCTACATACAGTCTCTGGCCTGCCTGACCCCAAGCAGGAGTTCAGTGCTGCCCTGGGCAGGTGGCCCCACCTGGACTAGCCGAGAAGCTTCACCACTTCACCAGTTAGGAGTGCTGTCTCCCAGGAGCCTGCAGCTCACAGAGGCTTGGCAACAGCCACCAGCAGAGCACCTCTTCCTGCTTCACGGGTTCTGCCCCTTATCTGACCATTCTCTGAGTTCTCGTTTCCTATGTGAGAGACACTTCTAGGTCCTGCACAGCTGTTAAGCTAAGGTGATTGGCAAGTTTTGAATATGACAGATACTGAGGATCACAGCTCCAAGCCCATATTCCCTCCAACTACACACATTTCTCAACCTCCAAAAGCATTTTTTCAGACCTCATTGGTCCATTTCCCATCCTACCTTCCTCAGTAAAGCCAATGCCCTTGGTCACTGAGGAAAAGTCTGTTCTAAGCGCATGAAGTGGGTAAATTCCAGGTAGGATGAGCACAGATCAGGACTGTAGCAGAGATTGGTGAGCCCAAAGCCTGCACTTTGCAGAGGAACCTGGCTCAGAGAGGTTAAGCAACTCAACTGACTCAAGGTCACAAAGCCAAGGAGGAATAGGACTGGAGCCCCGCCTCCTGAGGCCTAGGTACACTGCTCCTATCCCCAAGCTACAAGAGGGGACACACAAAGAGTAGGTGGGGGGTGGAGGTAGAATGTAAGCTAGCCAGTAACAGCCTCTGAAACCCCTCAAACTTCATCCCTGCAGGAAAGAAAGGCATCCTTGCTGCCACCATGGATTCAGTGCTCAGCCCAACACTGCAGCCTGGGAGGAAAGGTGGGCTTGAGCTCAGCGGTGTTTTGACCCCTCCTCCAGAGCCCCAGTTTCCAGGTTGCAACAGGGATGTCGCCAGGCTCTGCCTCCCCTGTCCTGAAAGGAGTTTGCCCCTGCAGTCACTCCAGTGTCTCCTCAATGTGTAAATTATAGCTAAAGGGAGTGTGGTGTGCATATCGGGGCTTTCTCTTCAGGTAGTTTCCTTTTCTTTCTCTCTTAATACAGTGTATGCCACTAAGGATTTTAACTTGGGGCAGAAGTCCTTGGTTTCACTTCTGTCTGAGGTAAAACAATCCCTCACAGCCTTCACAGGCATTGAAATTTGCCTTAAAATTTAAGAGCAACAGTTATGGCTAGACAAAGACCTAGAGTTCCCTCCACCTGCATTGCTGTGGCCAATCCCATCTGAAATTAGACAGCAAGCTCACTCATCTAGACTCTGAGCAAACTAATCCCAGTTCACATGACCCTGGGAGAAGATAAAGCCAAGTGTGTACGATCTGTTGGAGCGCCCCCAACCAACAAGACACATTGTCCCATTGGCTCTACAAAAAGCCAGGCCCCAAGGGCACAGTCGTATGGGTACCAGGGAGCACAAGGAGTGAGGAGTCAAAGTGGCCTCAGAGGTGAGAAAGATATAGAACAGACGTGAAGAAGACCATTCAATGCCCTCAGGAGGCCACTAATGGCTGCTGCATGGCATGACAGCAGAGAGGTAGGGACAAGAGTGATGCTGGAGCCAGGTAGAGAGCAAACATTCTGCAGTATCTAAAAAACACCAACAAGGAACCCCCTCCCCACCCCACATACTCTTGGCTACTAGGCTACTCTTCTGCTCCTCTTTACAGCAAATCTACTAGGAAGAACCTGCCCTGTGCGCTATCTGCACTTCCTCCCCTCTCTCTCAAATCTTTCTCCCACTTCCAAACTGCCATTGTCAACAACTTGCACAGGGGCCAATCCACAGGTCAGGCCATATACCCCATGCACTTGACCACTCAGCAGCATCTGGCCAGGCTGCAGGACTCTCCTTCAGAGTCCTGTGTTTCTGTGGCCCCGAGGTCTCTGTCCTCTCAACTCACTAGCAACACCCACCCCCAGCCTTCTAGAAGAGTCCCTTCCTAGTGCCGATCTCTATGTGTCGGGGTAACCCAGGCTCAGGCCTTGGACCTTTTACCCTTGCTGAGTGTCCTCTCCAATGGCTAGTCAGCCTGCTAAGGCAATCCTGATTCCTCCCTGTGCTGTGCTGACAGCCACCCAGCAGCCCACTTGACCCTCCAGTAGTTAGCATCTACATATGTATTAAATGCTAATGCAACATCCACTCCTGGTTTGGCCTCTCTCCAGTCTCTTCTGGCTCAATTACAATACCACTGCACACCCAGGCTCTGAGGTCCACATCCAAGAGCCACCTTGACTCCATTCTCCCTCCCCCGTTCACTTATAAGAGCCTTACTGAAGCAGCAGCCAGAGGGAACGGCCACCTTGCTGGAGACGTCCCTGGCTCCCAGATACTTAGAAGAAGTCCAAAATTCTCACCAGGCCTCTGAAACTCAAAGAGCTAACCCCAACCCAGCCTTTTTGCCCCATCTACACATATGTGCTCCTGTCCTCACTCTGTTCAGGTCTCAGCTTGACACTGTCAACTCAGACCACTGAACTAAAACAGTAGCAGGATCTAATACTCCCTTACCTATCTTTACTACTCTTGGTCCCTTAGGTATTGATCACATGTGTTACCTAACTCCTGAATGGAAATTTAAGGTCCATAAAAACATCTTATTTACAATCACCCATCACCCAGCATGTATCAAAGACTTCTCAATAAACAAAAGAACAAACTCACCTGACAGTTGATAAAGTCAGAAAATGGTGTTAAAGGGGGAATAGGACTGAGCAAAGTTTTAACCCAGAATAATCTTTGTGTAGAGAGGAGGGAAAGGAATGGAAGCCTGAATTGGTAGGGATGGAAGATGGGGGAGGCACTGGACCAACTTTGAAAGTGGTGTGGTGAGCGAAATGGGCTCTGGAAACCTTGAAGAAAGGAGAAAAAGAACAGAGCCAAAACTGAGGTTTAAACCTGAACAAGCTCTGACAGTCCAGCTACTCTAGGTCAAGTAGAAACCAAGAACATCTGATGGGATTGAGAACAGTCACTGGGCAAACAGGGGCGGAGGGAAGTCTTGGTTTGGAAGAACAACTGCAGAAAAGGGACTGAGGAGTGAGGAGAAACTGGTCAGCCTGGCTGCATGATGGGCAGGCCCAGAGATAAGCTGCATGACATACACGTGTGGCCCACCCTGACCTCACTGCCATGGCGCCCTGCCTCCCTGATCCCTAAGCAAAGATAAGAGTTAGAGGAGAAGTCAGGGAACATAAGATGCCCCCAAATAAAGCAAAGAATCAGAGGGTATGACGTCTCTTTTGGAGATGCAGCTGCACAGCCATGGAGAGCCAGAGGCACTGGGTGATCAGAGGTAAAAACAGGCCATGAGAGCAGACTCCAGGATGATGCCATAGGGAACAGGAAGAGGGAGGCTGAAGACCCCAGGGAGAGGACAGCATCAAGGTATATTGCGAAAGGACTTGGGTTCCTGTAGGTCACTCCCTGGACTTCTCATCTGAAGGCTGAGCCTGATAAAAATGTCCCTTCCAACTAAACCCACATGCCTGAGCCAGAGGTCAGATAGGTGCCCATTTTCTAGGAGTCCCAGGTGCCCAAGATCATTCTTCCTCTCTCATTTCCCACCTGACACCAGGTAGATACCTCAAGGATGCTGGTTAGAGGAATACAGAAACCTTTGAATAAATGTAAGCAATGGGGTTAAAAGAATAACAATTCTTTAGCTATAATGCTTATCAATAAAAAAAAAAATCTAAAAAATGTTTGTGATGGTCTCCTTTGAAGTAACCCCAGGGAGCCACAGCCATGCTGTGAATTCCTTTACGTTTAGAATATACAGCCCTTTTCCTTTCCAGGTGAAGGGGCTACTTGAAAAAACAACAATGGTGCCATGGTGCCAAAATAATAAGGGGTCACTGTGTGATTTCAGAACGCTTTGACTGTTCAAAGGATACACAGCTTTTCATCATCCTGAAACGTGAAGTAAAGTTTAACAAAGAAGGGGTGATCCAGGCGCGACATCACATCTCTCTCTCTGGTTACATACGGGACCTTGTTCTCTTTGATAATGTGACGTTTCTCTAAAATTTTAACTTAAGGTAAGAGAGAAGGGAGTTACCACGATTTGAAATAGTAAGAAAATACTAAAGACACAACTCATAGAGGTAACTGGTATAAATTCAAATTTTTCACATAATGCAGCTACTGGCTTCACGGTCTCTCAGACAGACCAACAGTGTTCTATCCCCTCAAATCAGCACAGAAATCCCCCAAGCGCTGGGCAGTGCTGGGTGGTTGTGTGCCCAGAGGTGTGCTGTCCCTGCATTCCAGACACAGCTTGCTAGAGTTAGTACTTACTAGCATATTCCCTTGAGGTTGCCAGTTCTCGGGCCAGGACAACCTGGTTAGGAAGAAAGGGGAAAAGAGAAGAGAAAAAACACCAAATGTAACCAGGGCATTGAGTCTCAAAGCTACCCTGCAACCAATCACATAGGCTAACCCACCTCCACCATAAAATTACGTTTAAATATTTGAAATTACATTTAAATATTTTTGGTCTTGTGCTAACAAATATAACTGAATGCCAATAACCAAGTTAATGCATTCCCAGAGTTAACAGCAAACACATATATCTCTCTGTTTCCAGGAGGTTCTTCATCAGCTGCCAATAGTCCCCATTGTTCAGTGAGGTATACACGCAGGAACATCTAGACCAGTATCACTCTCCCAAAAAGTAGGAAGCAGCAGTAAATAAAACCTCCACAAGTGGATATTAGGAATGTCTTAAAAAAATAACTTTACGGTCCAGGTGTGGCTCAGCAGTTGAGTGTCAACCCATGGACCAAGGTCGCCAGTTCAACTCCCCATCAGGACACATGCCCAGGTTGTGGGCCCAATCTCCAGTGGGGGATATGCAGGAGGCGGCCAATCGATGTTCTTCTCATTGATGTTTCTATCTCTCTCTCCCTCTTACTTCCTTTCTCTCTAAAATCAATAAAGAAAAAAATAAAAAATAATAACTTTATGAATATGTCCTCAGTATATGTTTATTGCAAAAAGCCATCCTGTGTTTAGGCATTTTCAAATAATTGTTACCATGCATTTTATTTGATGCTGTTCTTAGATACCATAAATACCATCCCTGCTATCAAGGGCAGAGGAAACAAAATCACATGTGGCCTGCAGACAGTTCCTCCTTAGAGTCCTGTTTCCTCATCAAAGGCCACAGCCACACTCCCAGCTGTGTCCTCTCTGTGGTATACGCAAATCTGGTGCTCAAACACTACTTAGGGGACAGAGCACCAATGGGGTATCATACAACATAGGAAAGGCCTTTCTACACTAGCAAACCCTAGGTGCAACTTAAGCACCAACTTCCAGATGCCTGATGAGCCCAGTTTGATGGTGTGCTGGTGGCTGCCACCACTGCCAGCTGGTACAAATGTCTCTCCTGAAATATATCCAGGGGGAAGGGCCCAAGGACCAGAGAATAGATGAAAACCTGCCCAACTCCTGGGATATCCCTGGGCCTTCAGAGAAGACCTCAGGAGATCACAGCTGGATTCATCTGGCCCGAGTGTGAGTTATATGCCGGTATAAAATTCTTCAGCAGACTCAACAGAAGCAATCCTGGAAAAGTACTGTGTGAAATGCCCCACAGTCATTAGGAATGAGGTTGGACTGTACATATTCAAGTGGAAAGATCTCAAAGATCTTTCCAGAGGAATGCGCCTGTGTAGACTGTTAAGTTTCTTCTTGGGAACACGTACTAGCTATGTAAGTTAAAAGAACTGTTAAAGAATACTAATATTTAATGAAAACTTCTGAAAGAGATAGTTATGTCATCTTTCTCTTGTGTGAATTCAGTATTTCATATGCAGTTTTCCTTATGAACACAGGGCAGGGAGTGCCCCTCTTCCACAGAACAAGGCATGACACATCACTCCTCATCACTTGGGCTGATGAAAGAACTAATCTGGATGTCATGATTAGCCCCACGGAGCCAGACATGGAGTAATTTCACAAATAAATCCTCATTTTCCAGTCAAGATAAATGTCCAATGAAGTAAAGTTGAGAAAAGTAAGAATTCTTCTTTTACTGAACTGCTGCAAAACACCAAGGTTCTCTTCAAAATAGTTTCTTCCTCCTGAAAGCATCTGTAAGTATCAGAAGGACCAGGAACTATCCTCACAGTTGAAGGTTTTTATTCTAAGAACACAACTCTTTCATAATTTAAACAAAACTGCCAATTAAAAAATCTAAATTCGCCCTGGCCAGTTTGGCTCAGCAGTTAGAGTGTCGGCCTGCGGTCCAGAGAGACCCGGGTTCGGTCCCTGCTAAGGGCATGTACCTCGGTTGCAGTCTGTCCCTGGCCCTGGTTGGGTCGTGTGGGTGGCAGCCACTTGATGTGTCCCTTTCACGTCGATGTTTCTCTCTCTCTCACTCTATCTGAACAAAATATCAAAAAATGTCCTCGGGTGAGGATTAAAAAAAAAAAATCTAAATTCAAGTGTAAGAGGAGCAAAAATTAATATTAATTAAAACAATGTTAAAAACACGAGTGAGCTATAATATTTCATGTTCCTTGTATTTTGAAGCATTTCATAAATGTAAAAAGAGAAAAGGAAACAAATTTCACATAAGGTTTCTTCACAAAGGCCAGGCAAGAAGACTCATTGTTGAGGAACCCTGCTGCATTAGGGAGCTCTAGCACCAACCTGCTGTGTCCACAATGCCTCAGGACCCAGCTTGGAGATTATGGTAGCAGGGAATTATCTTTTTATGAAGGCACAGCTTTAGAGTGTGCCCTCCAGCTGGGGAGCAGGTACTCAGGCCTCCACCAAGCATGCAGCAAGCCCCCAGCACTGCCATAGCCACATGGGGCAGCCACCTCAACAAAGGGGCTGGTTTAAAACTTCTGCTGTAAGAGGAAAACTACCACAGAACAAACACAACTCACTCGGGTAGCAAAAAGAGTTACCCTGAGTGTGACTTGACAGTGTCATGAAAATATTTGTTTATAAATATAAAACCGAGGACACAGAATCTAGAGGCCAGAAGGTCTTGGGCTATAACTCTAGCAAGTGTCAAAATAAAGGTTTTAAAATGTTTCCCCCAAAACTCTAAAAAGATACTAAAACCAACACTAACATTTAATCTAAGGAAAAGAAAAGCTTCCTAGGGCCTTGCCAATGTGACACAAGGACATGGAATGTTACCTGGTTAGAATAAAGTGAACTGCCATTTAAAAAAAAAATAGGGGATGAGTTGGGTGGGGAGGGGGGGATCGAGAGGAGGGTGTCAATGGGGAAAAAGGAGAAATATCTGTAACAAAAATAAATTAATTAAAATAATTAAAATAAATGAATAAAAATTTTAAAAATAAGATCAAAAGATGCCTTTTAAAGGTTTCATGTACAAAATCATGGCTTAGATATTGTAGTCACATGATCTACTTGGTGGCTCCAAATCCCGTTCACAACAGGAGAGGAACTCCCAGGGGACTGAGACCCTTCTCCACAGGGAAGAACATCACCCTGGTATCTGGGTCTCCCAGTTCTGAGTCTGGAAGGTCAGCTTATCCAAGGAAAATACCATTATTCAACAAAAGGAGTATGTACTCACTGTTGAAAAAGAGCCTTCACCAAGAATTTTTCCAAATTTGAAGTCTTCAGGCCGTTTCTTCCGAGGCTGTGGTGGTGGCTGTGCGGCATGTTGCAGTGAGTTAGCACTTGGTCGGGACTCAGCCGCAGTGCTGTCCATGGTGGGGCCCTGCCTGCTACCACCACTGGGAACAACAGGGGCCGTGCCGGACTCAGTCTGGGTCCTTACCATTGATGGGGATGGGCAGGAACATAACACCACGCTGGACTGAATAGGAACGGTGTCATACTGGTGGACACAGAAAAAAGAGGTAAGATTCAAAGCAGTTTCCTTTCCCTAAACACATGAACTAAAGTGTTGACATTGTTTAAACACAAACGCCAAGTACAGGCAGGCCATTTGACATTCTGCCACATGGTTCAGGCTGCTGCCTTGTTCTCCCAAGTTACTTTCCTACTCAAATCCCAGCCCTCCCTATTCTGCTTTCCCACAAACCCCACCACCTAGTACCTATCTACCCTCATCCTCCTCCCTTAGCACTAAATGAGTCTCCAACACCCCCCTACTCCACCCAATGGCTAGTTAGCCTGCCCATCACTGCCCAGCTTAAACACCATCTGCAGCCAACCCTGTTCACAAAGTAAGTCGGCCCAAACCCTGTGACCATGGTGTTGGCTGTTCCAGAACCCCTTGCCCTGCTTAGGCACCCACAGCTGACATAAGACTGGACACATGGGAAGACACTCAATTTGGGTTTGAACAAACAGACTGGCTTGAGACTGCATCCCACAGCCAAACAGAATTTGAAGTGTGCAGTCCTGGAACACAGAAGTATAACTTAATGGAAAGAAGAGTCCAAGAATTGCCAACTACACATAAAAGTTATAGTTGATAAAAAGCCTCTAAAAAAGACTACAGTAGAGAAATTCGTTAACAATTTTGAAGATAACTAGAGCCAAAACAGTTATGTGTGCTCCTTACACACCAAATTAAAAAACTTAATTTAAAAAATTATTCAATGCAATCCCTATTAAAATCCCAACTGGTTTCCTTGCAGAAATCGATAAGCAGATCCTAAAATTCATATGGAAATTCAAGGGAGCCAGTGTAGCTAGACAATCTCAAAAAAAAAAGAACGAAGTCAGAGGACTCGTATGTGCAGATTTCAAAACTTACAAAAAACCTATAGTAATCAAGACAGGATGGTACCGGCATAAGGATAGGCACATAGATGAATAGAATAGAAAAGAAATAAATTCATGGCCAACTGATTTGACAGGGGTGCCAAGACCCTTCAATGGGAAAGAATAGTCTTTTCCACAAATGGTGCTAGGCCAACTGTATATCCACGTGCAAAAGAATGAAGTTCGATGCCTTACCCACATCATATACAAAATTTAACTCAAATAGATCAAAGATATACATATAAGAACTAAAACTATAAAACTCTTAGAGAAAAATATAGGAGTAAAATTTCAAAACCTTGGCAATGGTTTCTAAGATATAAAACCAAAAGCACAAGCTACAAAAGAAAGAAACAGGTCAAAGGGACTTCATCAAAATTAAGAACTTCTGTGCTTCAAAGTCACCATCAAGAAAGCGAAAAGACAACTCACAGAATGGGAGAAAATATCAGCAAATCATATATCTGATAAAGGACTTGTGGCCAGACTACATAAGGAACTCTTACAACTCAAAAACACAACAAAACAAAACACACACACACAAAATTTAAAAATAAAAAGCAGGCCCTGGCCAGTTTGGCTTAGCGGTTAGAGCGTCAGCCTGTGGTCCAGAGAGACCTGGGTTCAGTTTCCGCTAAAGGCACATGCCTCGGTTGCAGTTTGTCCCTGGCCCTGGTTGAGTCGTGCAGGTGGCAGCCACTCGATGTGTACCTTTCACGTCGATGTTTCTCTCTCTCTCCCTCCCTATCTGAACAAAAAATGAAAAAATGTCCTCGGGTGAGGATTAAAAAATTTTTTTAAATAAAAATAAGGAGCAGATCTGAATAAACATTTCTCCAAAGAAATACAAATGGTTGTTCAGCTGGTGTGCCTCAGTGGATTAAATGCCATCCCATGGACTGAGAGTTCGATTCCTGGTTAGGGTACATGCCCAGGTTATAGGGTCAATCCCCAGTGGCGGGTGTGCCGGAGGCAGCCAATCAATGTTTCTCTCTCACATTGATGTTTCTATCTCTTTCTCCCCCCACCCCCCCAAAAAATCAATGAAAACATTAAAAAAAAGAAATACAAATAGCCGATAAGCACATGAAAAGATGCTCATGCTCAACATCATCAACCATTATGGAAATGCAAATCAAAGTCACAATGAGATTTCAATTGAACCCACTAGGATAGCAAGAATAAAAAAGACAGATAATAGGAGATCTAACATGGTGTTGGGCAGGACTGTAGTGAGGGTGAGTGGGTGAGTGTGTGTGACAGTGTGCATGGGCAGCTGCCTGTTGGTGTGGGAACTCCAGGTGGGTGGGGTTGGGTGCTTCTGGAGGAGGAGCTGCTGGCGGCCACCACAAGATGCTCCACAGGGCACTTCTCACCACTTGAGTTTGAAGAGTGCACCATTTTGGAGGAACTGCAGGTTCCTCCACTGGAGGAGGCTGTGCAAAGCGACCATGACCCAGTGCTCTGAGGCCACAGACAGGAAGGTGCAACTAGGCCACTGCAACCCAATGCCCTGGTCACATGGGCCTGACACCACAACCCGGCATGCCTAAACTGGTGCCCCTGGACGACCAGACCCCACAGGACCCAATGCCCCTGGACACACAGACCTGCTGCTGCGACCAGGTAAGCCTGACCTGGAACCCCGGAAGACTGGACCCACTGAAATGAGGCAACAAAGAAACAACCATCAAATGAAAGAAAAGGAGGAATCGCCAGAACAGTAACTAAATGAATTGGAGGCAAGCAATTTATTAGATACAGAGTTCAAAGTAATGGTTATAAGGATGCTCAAACAACTTAGTGAGAACTACAAGGAACTTAGTGGGAATTTCATAAGCGTATCAAAAAAAAAAAAAAAAGGTAGAAATCATCAATAAGAATCAACAGAAATGAGGAATGACATAGATGAAACAGAATGCCCTAGAAGGAATCAACAGTAGATTAGAAGAAGCTGAGGACCGAATCAGCAAATTAGAAGACAAGATAAAAGAAAAATACCCAATCAGAGCAAAAAAAAATTTTAAAGCAGGAGGATAGTTTAAGGGAGCGCTGGGACAATCAGAAAGAATATATGCACCCCTATGTTCATAGCAGTGTTATTTACAATCACTAAGATCTGGAAAAGCCCAAATACCTATCAGTAGATGAATGGATAAAAAAAGCTGTGGTACATTTACACAATGGAATACTGTGTGACTGTAAAAAAAAAAAGGTCCTCTTACCCTTTGAGACAGCATGGAAGGGCGTGGAGATTATTATGCTAAGTGAAATAAGCCAGCCAGAGAAAGACCACTATCCCATGATCTCACTTACATGTGAAATATAATGAACACAATAAACTGATAAATAAAATAGAAACCAGAGGCATGGAAACATGGAAGAGGCAGACGAATTTCAGTGGGGGGATTAACCAAAGAATTTATATGCATTGCTCATGGACATAGACAATAGGGTGGTGGAGGCCTAGGGTAGGGTGGGAATGGGGTGGTGTGGGGGGCAAGGGGGGAAAAAAAGGGGGGGGGGTCTGTAATACTTTCAGCAATGAAGATTTTTTTTGTAATCCTCACCCAAGGATATTTTTACATTTATCTTCAGACAGAGTGGGAGGGAGAAGAGAGACAGAGAAACATTGATGTGAGAGTGACACATCGATTGGTTGCCCCTTGCACGACCCCAACTGGGGCCAGGGACAAACCGCAACCGAGGTTCAAATCAAACCCGGAATCAAACCCAGGACTCCCTGGTCCACTGGCAGACGTTCTAACCGCTGAGCCAAACCAACCAGGGCACATGATACATTTTCGATTGGGGGGATGAATCAATAGATAAGAATGATTAAATATGTTTTCAATACACAGAAACACCAAATACTGGCAAGACCAGGATAAAACAAGTATACTCCTACAACTGCAGCTGGCACTATAAACCTATGTTGCTGTTAAAACGTTTCTGGAGGAGGGTGTCAATGGGGGGAAAATGGAGGGACCATCTGTAATACTTTCAACAATAAAGATAAAATTTTTTTTAAGTTTCTGGGATAAAGCAATAACAGAATAGTTGTCAATGAGACATAGAAATACTGAACAGAAGTGGGTAAAATACAGTTAAAAATGTAGGTGGGCATTAAGAAAGGATTAGAAAGCATCATATCAGAAATGCATAAAAGTTGTACCCACCACCATAAAAAAATATTTTCTGGCTCTGACCCTGAAGCGTTTTAGCCGTGGCATCATTAGCCTACTTACCACCAGACTGATGTACAACATGAAATGAACTCAGAACACCCAGATTTGTTTCTATAATACTCCCCATTAAAAGAACCCAGGAGAGCATTTGACTCCATGTCTTGGAACAGAAGAAAGACAATCAATATGATTCAAGAATCCCTAGCTGGGGCTGAAAAGGGGGTTGCCTTCACAAGTTGTGGAAGCAGGAAAGGGCAGGGAAGCTGGCCTTGTAGGGGCTGCTACTAACCAAATAGTGCTGTAAACACTAAAAAGAACTAATCAGAATAAACTGAAACTGGGATATGAGTCTTGTAACAACACATACAGGTGATAAAAAAAAAAAATCAATATTATAACATGACAACAATTGAATGCTTAATTTTATAAATTTGAATAGCTAAGGGAATGCAGCCATACAAAACTGTTTGATGTACTATGTATACATTTGTTCATAAAGAACAGACAAAAATTTCCTCTCTACACTTAAATAGGGAAAGGAAACACAGAAACTATGAAGAAGCTAGAGTCCTGTAAAAACTTCACTAAGAACAGGAAAGACAGGTGGGCACAAAGTAATCAACAGTGTGCAGCGGGTGACAGCTCAGCCACCACAAGAGAAGATGCTCATCTTGAGATACACAAAACACATAACAAAGTAAAAAACAAATCTAGACAGAACATCCTGTAACCCAAACATGATGAGCATGGAGGTGGAGAAGGGAGGCAGCAGATGGCAAGAACAGGCAGGAGCCTGGGCAGTCCCCACATATAAACCTCGGCTCCATGAGGCAAGCAGGCACAGGCAGGGTCACCCTGGAATACACATCATGTCCCTGCTCCCAACCAAGGAGCCATCATCAAGAACTCTGGAGCTACACCACAGCCAAGAGGAGGAAGGCTTCTTTTACTTAAAGATCTGCAAAAGAGAAAGCGTTGCAGAGCTGCCCTTCTCTTTGTAAAATTTAAGTGTCAGATGTGCTGCTTCGTGTCCACACATGTGGATATAGAAAACTTCAAGCTTGACACTGCAGCAGCCCTGAAAACTACTAGTTAGACCAAATGTGCTACCAAAGCTCCTTCTCCAGGTGAGCTCACGTATGCAGTACACCTGAATAAGCCTTAGAACAGGCAATAGGTTCAGTTCTGTAGCTGCCCCCAATGTAGGGTTCATCCTGGAGATGCTGAGGTTACACCTAAGTACAGTCCACTAGGAGGAAGCCCACACCATGAGCCCCTAGCCTCAAGAAGTTTGGGGCCCGACGCATTATTTTATCCCAGTGGTTCTCAACTAGCCCAATTCTGCCACCTGGACCCCACCCCCACCTCTGACCCTTGCCAATGTCTGGAAACAGTCTGGATTGACATAACCAGAGAAGGGAGAGTGTTACTGGCATCTAGTGTGTAGGGGAAGGAATGCTGTAATACCCTACAATAAACAGGGCAGTTCTGTTTTTTTGAGAGGTTCTCATTTATCCTGTAGACTCTACCCTGCCTCCCACAAGAACCCCACCAAGTGTTCAGTGACTGCCCTCAAAGCACTCAGCAGTAGGGCAGGTCCGGTATGCAGTGAGACCCTGAACCACCCCTCAGAACAGCAGAGAAAGAAGCCCAAGAAAAAGAAGCTGATATTCACAAATGTAGCTGTGGCAGGTTGAAAAAGGCATGTTAAAAAAGCCTAAGGCTGCCCTGGTCGCTTTGGCTCAGGGGTTAGAGCACTGGCCTGCAGACTAGAGAGACCTGGGTTCGGTTCCTGCTAAGGGCGTGTACCTCGGTTGCAGTTTGTCCCCGGCCCTGGTTGGTCATGCGGGTGGCAGCCACTCGATGTGTCCCTTTCACGTTGATGTTTCTCTCTTTCTCTCTCTCTCCCTCCCTCTCTCCCTCCCACTCTATCTGAACAAAAAATGGAAAAAAATGTCCTCGGGTGAGGATAAAAAAAAATCCAAAGGCTGTGTTTGGGGAAAAAAACTAACATCCATGACCTAAACAGTATAAAATGGCAGTATCAAAGAGGCTTCACAGTAAGACTGCCAACCAGGCAGTACTGTGACTTTACATTGAGAAATACCGGACTAAGCAGAAGAGAGCACTCACAGCCCTCCAAAGCCAAATGGGCTTTCAGGAAGCTGGGGGAAGGAGGTGCAAGTGGCTAAGAGAGCTGGAGGAGACTAAGGAGGGTGAGGTGACACCCCACTCACTCAGCAGCCACATCCACATTCAACTCCCAAGCTAAAAACACCAACCTGGCATCCAAATGTCTAAGCACAACCCCCTACTCCCAGGAAAGCAGTCCTGCCACCCCAGCAGCCACAAAGCCATAACTCAAGGACACACAGCCAGGAAGGAGCAAGTACTTGCTTTCTTTTTCAGTTTTCCCTGGACTCCTGGCTCAAAACAATACGTTTAGGCGGGAACTCTACTTGGCATTGCTGTTTCCAAATGCCAGCCTTTAACACTTCATTTGCTATATGATTATACCCGATAATTTAAGTTTCTTTTTTTGTTATTTATTTTTAATTTTTTTCCTTATTGATTTTAGAGAGAAAGAAAAGGAGAATGAGAGAAACATGGATGAGAGAGAACATCGCTTGGACACTTCCTGCATGCCCCCCACTGGGGAATGGACCTACAACCTGGGCATGTGCCCTGATCCGGAATCAAACTGGAGACCTCTTGGTGCATGGGTCAACACTCAATCACTAAGCCACACCAGCAGGGCTGTTGTTTGTTTCTTATTAATGAAGCAAACTTAACTCAGAGGGGGCATTTGAAAAGCACAGCTAGGAGCCCCTTCGTTTGCAATAAAGAACATCCTGATTATTCCTGATAAAGCAGAACGAGAACACATCCAGCCAGGAAACTGGATGTGAGGAGAAGCCTCTGAACACACACAGCCTGTTCAGGAACATCTGCTCCCATGGGGAATCACCCCACTCAGAAGAAGCTCCCCCACAACTCCAGGCATCCAGACAGCCAGTAAAAGGTATTAAGACTTAATCCTGTATCTATAGTCTTAGCATTGTACCCAGTGGGTGGTCTGGGATTGAGAGCTTGTGTGTTCTGCATACTTGACAGAGTTTGTCACAAGATAATGGTTTGAGCCAAGGTTTTTCCCACCTGTAAACATGAATGCACCCGATTTTAACTTTTACCTTTACAAGATGCCTGGTGAGTTCACTCAGCCCAAAGCACAATTCTGAGAGGTTCAAAGGTGTTAATAAGCCTCTCTTTTAAGGGACACATGCCACCTTACTATAGGGTAACATAAACTACTTAAGTCACCTTACTTTGTTCTTGGCAGCTGGCTGACACTATCTGCGTGCTCTGTGAGTGCAGAATACTCTGGGCCCTAAATGGAGTTGTGCCTGCTTTTGCTGGGGGACGACAGTCTGAGGAGAGAACAGGATGCTTGCAGAGATGCAGGAGGGTGGTGAGGTGGCCCTGGGCCAGGATGAGAAGAGGCAAGGAGAGGATGTTGGCAGCACCATCGTGCACAACCACCATCCCTCTCCACCTCGAATTCCCAGGACTAGGAGTCACCTGGGGAACCTCTCTAGACCTGCCCTCCACCCAGCTCAGCAGGCACATTTTGTTGTTTGCCACAGCTTACAGCGCATCTCACAACTCCGCATACTCAGTCCTGAGAGGGTCAGGGAGCTCCAAGACATTTAACTCACCCTGCACAGGCAACTCAGGCTGTGGAGCGATTTCTCAAGTACACCTGACTTTCCAAAGCCATGGTTTCATGCTATTTCATAAAAACATATGCACTCATTTTTTTTTTATCCTCACTTGAGGACATTTTTCCATTTTTTGCTCAGATAGAGTGGGAGGGAAAGAGAGGAAGAGAGAGAGAGAAACATCGATGTGAAAGGGACACATCGAGTGGCCGCCTCCCGCACAACCCAACCAGCAACCAAGGCACATGCCCTTAGCAGGAACCAAACCCGGGTCTCTCTGGACCGCAGGCCGACACTCTAACCGCTGAGCCAAACCGGCCAGGGCAATACATGCACTCATTTTATTCATCAGAGTTCCTTAAAGGAGGTAAATCAACTACCTTATTAACCCAACTGCTCCACAAATGCGTCACTGTGCCATCCACGGTCGGGGGCCATGGCCTTAAGGCAAATGGGGTCCCTGCCCCTCGGAAGCTACATACATCTTAATGGGGCAACAAGCCCGGCAACATTTACAGAGTGAGCTGGTTAAGGCTGTGGCCATGGCAGAGCTGGATGACTGCTGGGGGAACACAGCAGACCCCTGGCTGCTGTGGGCCACATTGTGGGTCAGCGAGGGGCTGGGAGAGAGTGGTCGGATGACTACAGTACTGCTCAGGGGAGGGCGGTGGAGACTTGGATGGTGCTTCAATGTCCAGGAGAGAGATACTAATGTACAGAAAATGCAACGTAGTAAGAGCTAGTCATGCATCACACATTTTTTTCTTTTGTACGTGCCCCTAGGGAGAACCAAACCTGGAACTCTCTGGTCCACAGGCTGATGCTCCAACCGCTGAGCCAAACCGGCCAGGGCACACACATTTTAAAGTTTCCCTTTTCCCTCTAAGTTTCAGATTCAAAACACAGCAGGCTTCATGAGTCAGAAAGAAAAACCAGTCTTTTTGAAATCAACATCCAAGTGAAATATAGAAAGAACTCTGGAGTTTGGAAATGGCAACAATAGATGATGTAATACAGACCAACAGACACACACCTGCTTTTCCGTCACATGCTTTACATGAAATGGCAGGGTCTCTGCCAGCACCTCACAGCACCTTCAATGACTGAAGGCGAATGCAGTGCATTGCGCTTGAGACCACTCTGCTCTTATCCACTTCATCAACACAGGTTCACTAAGGACCATGCACTCTCCTGGGCACTGGAGAGACAGTAAAGAACGAGACCGAGCCTGTGCCCTCAAGAAGCCCATATTCTAGTGGTGCAGATAGACCTTCCATGAAGCAGAAACCAGGTAGAAATTCCAGTGTCGTATGGTGATCAGCACTGTAAGAAAAATACATCAGGGAAGGGAGATGGGAGTGTTTGGATGGGGGTGGTGTACATCTAAACAACCAGAGAAGCCCTCAGTGGGAAGGTAATATCTGAGCAAAGACTCGAGGAGGTGGGGAAAGGTCTCCCCAGGTGTCTGTAGAGCTTTCCCCACAGAGGACTAGCCAGTGCAAAAGTCCCAAGGCAGGAGCAGCTCTAGACTCACGGTGGTCCAGAAAAACTCCTGGATGTCAGGCAGGGACCTCAGCACCCTTGACACACCCTTCTGGGCACCTCAAACCACAGGGGTGGGAGCCTGAGAAATGGGGCTACCCATGAAGACCCAGACACCTCCTGAACCAGAGTCTGATGACAGCCTAACCAAGGCTGTACTGTCCAGCATCAGCCCAAGGCTCTGAGATACTGGTCTACTACACCACTGCTGCTCCAAAAATACCCCAGCAGTACCCCCTCCATTCCAGCACTACGAGCACGATGACACAGGAACTCTTCATGAGCAACCTTCCTCCTTCGTGGAATTCAGTGATTTCCTTCCTGCCTCGGCCACATGAGCCAGCAAACACCTCAGCACAAGACAGTCTCAGGACCTGTCCCAGATGGAGATGTTTAAGGGTCAACTCGGTGCTCGTGCTTTCTCCTCCCATGAGCATAACTCACTGGCACGGGCACGTTTAGTGAATAACTTTACCTCTGCAGTTAAAGGAAATGGCTGCAATATTACCTTGTAAAGCATTTTTATTTTTATTTACTTTTTTATCCTCACCCGAGGACATTTTTGCATTTATCTTCAGATAAAGCAAGAGGGAGAGAGGGAGAAAGAGAGAAACACCAATGTGAAAGGGACACAACGACTGGCTGCCACCCACACGACCCAAACCGGGACTGGGGACAAAGTGCAACCGAGGTACATGCTCTTAGTGGGAACCGAACCCAGGACTCTCTGGCCTGCGAACTGATACTCTAACTGCTGAGCCAAACCAGGCAGGGCTGTAAAGCATTTTTAAAACATCAATTGTAAGATGAAAAACAAAAGAGAAAAGCACTCTTCCAGTGTGAAACCTCCAATGTTTTACTATAACTCCAAGTGTTATAGTATTGATGTTAAGTTTTTAAAACATCTTGAGAAGTAATTAAGCTGCACAAAGAGCACTCTGAGGCCACCAGGATCTGGAGAACACTTGCTGACCGCAGGCAGCCGTGTGTCAGGGTGAGTGGGGGTCTTGGTCAGGCTCCTCAGGCGCCTCCATCCTGCCTGCCATCCCTTGGTCCTGCAGAGCCAGCACAGCCTGGAAGCCCAGACCACACAGGATCTGCAGGTAAGCCATTCCCTCCCAGCACAGTCTTATTAGATGGCCACCCATTTGGTGACCCAAAATTATGCTAAATAAATACTTATTGTGCCCTCTCCGGTTTGGCTCTGCGGTTAGAACATCAGCCTGAGGACCAAAGAGTCGCAGGTACAATTCCAGTCCTGGGCATGTACCTTGCTTGCAATTCGTCTCTGGCCCTGGTGTCTCTCTCTCTCTCTCCCTCCCACTCTGTCTGAAGATAAATAGAAAAATATCGCGCTGGCTGGTTTGGCTCAGCGGTTGGAGCATCGGCATGCAGACCCGAGAGTCCTGGGTTTGGTTCCCGCTAGGGGCACGTACCAAAAAATAAATAAATACATAAATAAGTAAATAAATAAATATAAATATCCTGGGTGAGGTTTAAAAAATAAATAAATACTTTTGGTGAGTCAACAGCTTCTGAAATTTCAATATCTAGAGAAAATTTTTTAAAATCCTCACCTGAGGCCCTGGCCGGTTTGGCTCAGCGGTTAGAGCGTCGGCCTGCGGTCCTGAGAGACCCGGGTTCGGTTCCCGCTAAGGGCGCGTGCCTCGGTTGCAGTTTGTCCCCGGCCCTGGTTGGTCGTGCGGGTGGCAGCCACTCGATGTGTCCCTTTCACGTCGATGTTTCTCTCTCTCTCTCTGTTCCTCTCTCTCCCTCCCGCTCTACCTGAACAAAAAAAATGGAAAAATGTCCTCGGGTGAGGATTGAAAAAAATAAAAAATAAAATAAAATAAAATAAAATCCTCACCTGAGGATTAGTTCATTGATTTTAGAGGGAGAGGAAGGGGGGTGGAGAGAGAGAAACATCGATTGGTTGCCTACCATATGCACCCTGACCAGGGATCGAACATGCAACCAACCCTTCATTGTACAAAATGATGCTCCAATAACTGAGCTACTGGCCAGGGCTCTCTGGAAAAATTTAAAGCAACAAAACCCTGGGTGTGCCTGTCCTTCATCCCATTCCTCCCTGATAAAATAGAGCTGATCACAAACACATTTTCAACAACATGGCTCTCTGTTCGGTTCTGCAGGCAGCTCACTGCCATGAGACTTATGATAGCTGGCCTTTCTTACACACAGATATATATGTACCCCAAACCCAAGCCCCTTGGGCCCTTCAAGGGAAGGCTGTGGCAACCCGTGTCCAAAGCCCTACATCAATGCCTCTCCTTTCCCGCCAGGAGAGTCACAGGCCATGCCACAGCCCCCACTTTCTTCCCTACTTCTTACTAACTGCACCCCATCCATCTCCCCTCTTCCCCTCATGCAGGACCCCTTCTGTGTGCCAATGGCACAGCTCTATCAACAAGGAAGGACAGCTGTTCTCAACAGACTTGGTTAGGAAGAGTCAGCCATCGACACTCGCACCTTTGGAGTCTTGGAACACTGGGTCTCACCATGTCTTCACAACCTCCTTCTATACCTGTTAGTGTATCAGGGTGAATCGGTAAGCAGGACTGTCACCTGCTGTGCTCGCTCCACCCTTTCACAGCAGGCACAGGGGGTTTTGGAGAGGACTTACAACCACCCTTCCAAAGAGCATCTCTGACAGGATGACAAAGACACATTTTAAACCACTGACTTCCCAGTGAACTTCAAAAATATAGTCCATTGTAAACTGGGCATTTTCGGTAGACTTCAATTTGTTTCACACAATTCGTACATAAGAATTTGTTTCAACTTCTTTGACTTTTTGAGTACTGGGTTCAGGAGTCTCCTCTCAGAAGTTTAAACTCGAAAGGGAAAATTACTTTGAGATCAAATTACATTTTCATAGCCACCAAAAACATATCAAGGCTCAATTTAACTGTGTGGTATCTTGCTTTCCCACTAAGAGAGTTTAGGAAAATATCAGCAGAAAAATATCCAGTATCCAATATTCAAATCCACTAAATGTAGCAAATATTTGATTGACAAAGAGACTGAAATGCAAATGAATCTGAGGAAAGGAAACAAATGACCAGAGGATGTTTTGGATTCCTTTTCCCTGTGCCATCAAGTCTCACAGCAGACACCTCTCCTCCTCCAAAGCTGCAGACAACAGCTTCTCTCACCCTTAGAAGACTCACTGCCAGGTAGATGGAAGCTGATTTTTAAAACACAGACCATGGTTTTAAAGCATACCTCAGAGCCCTTAATTACCGGGCAGCAGGACAGTGTTGCACGGGGCAGATGAGGACGTGAACCAGGAGAAGAGACCTGAATCAGCACCTGGAGGCCTAGGAATTGAATTGGGGGTAGAGGGTTGACTGATGTTCCTCAGATCCCTCTGGATCTTTCTTTTTTTTTTTTTTTAATACTCATCCGAGGACATTTTTGCATTTTTCTTCAGATAGAGCGAGAGGGAGAGAGGGAGGAAGAGAGAGAGAGACATCAATGTGAGAGAGAGACATTGAGTGGCCGCCACCCACACGACCCCAACAGGGGCTAGGGACAAACTGCAACCGAGATAAGGGCCCTTAGTGGGAACCAAACCCGGGACTCTCTGGTCCGCGGGCCAACGCTCCAACCGCTGAGCCAGACCGGCCAGGGCCGGATCTTTTTTCATCTCTACATCTTCCTCTCTTTAGGGGGAATAAAATGCCAATTAAGCAAGGATTTCATATGAAGACTGAGCTTGGGGAGGTTGAAGCTAGACTCAGGCTCAGTGTGATGAGAAAGTCTTTCATTCTGAGAGGGAGCCTTTAGATTTGCACAGGGACCACGGATTCAAAGCTGGGGGCCTACACACCCCATATTTCAGCAACCACAACCGGATTCTTTAAATGTATCTTGGCTCTTAAGAGGATTTTGTTTTTTTAAGTTTCTATAAACCTGCTGAGGAAGAATCTAATTGCAGGATATCACAAGAATTAAGAGATCCAAAGCTTAATCATTACTTACCAAACTGTGTAAACCTTCTGCATATGAACTAGTCCTGGGCCTCGGGTACACATTACAGTCACAGGTACAAGTAGAGAAGAACTGTTAGAACACGCACTCTGCTGGGTTGAGCACTGCTCCTCACTAGCTGTCTCACCTTGAGCACGGTACGTCACCTCTCTGTGGCTCAGACCCTTTACCTCATAGTCAGGGTAAAGAGAACGGGAACTCCCAGGCTTGCTGTGAGGATTTAGTCAATAAAGGTATAAAAAGCACTCAAGCTGACTAGGAGGGAGCATGCTAGGAGCACTTTTACAATTAAATAACACAGAAGATACAGACACAAACTTTCTCCAACCAGGGGCCATTGAATCATAAAATAAACCCCTCAAGCCCTTTCCAAGTGTTGTTTATTCATCTGTAACTAAAACTGAATTAAATGTATACTGTATCACAAGGCCAAATTCCAACACACCAGCAGAGGAATCAAGATCAAAATCAGGGCCTTGTATGGTCAAGATGCTGTCCAAGGCTTAAGGCTCCAGCCAGCAAGACAAATGATCCCAAACTCAAAACGTTAAGATGCCTTTAAGGGCTGCCCGGGTGGCGTGTACTCTGGAGCTCTGACCGCACCAGGACAGGTACCACCAACAAACCACAGAAGGAACACCTCCCTCTAGGACCCTGTGTTAAAGGGGTGGGAGGCTGCCATCAAATCCAACCAGCTCATCCCTAAAGGGAGTCTGTCCTCAGGTCAGCTGTGCTCAATGACAAAGAATATTCTA